CCCAAGTAAAGGACCCTAACATCCTGGTCAGCTCGTTACAACGAGGGTTTCTGAACGGCGCGGGAGTGAAATGCCACCGACCTCTCGAGCATTTGCATTTCGTGAGAATCCTTCTCCTTGCCACGCAACAAAGGGATTGGATCCAATAGCTGGGGGGACTGGCTAGTTGGGGTGTCTGTTGTTTATGGGAACCCCCCCTACCAAAAACAAACATGGTGGTTGTCCCTTCAGCTTTTCTTCAAAGCCAGCCAAAACGGAGTTTCAACCAACAAACACGACGAGGAGCCGCCAAACTTCATTCCCATGCCACGAGATGGTGCGGGCCAGGCCGCAATTCATGGTGGGGTGCTGCTTCCCAAACTGGTCCCAGGTTTGGCACATCACCGGGTACTCCGACTCGCATGCGGAGGTCTGCATTTGCCCCGGCCTGCGTAAAAGGCCGACGGACTACAACAAAAACCTGGACCCTCAAACTGCCCACTCCCGATGTATTTAGGGCCCTCAAACAGCCGGGTTTGAGACCCCCAAACACCTTCGGGGGTGTCTAAAGGGGTCGGGTCTTCCATTGAAAGCCGAAGCCAGGAGCCTCTGGGCAGCAAACAAAGGGGAATTCACCCACCGAGAAAGGCCAAAAGATCACCTCCTTTTGGGCAAGTGAGATGGGATAGATGCATCATTGCGCCGGGGCAAACATTGTTTTGGGGTGGAAAAAAGAAGAAGGGGCTCACTTACGAGGGATCCAATGTGGGGAAAGCACACCCCAATCTTGGGTATTGCAGGGGCTCCCACTACCCTAGCAAGCCGCATGGTGGTCAAAAGTTGTTGCACCGGAAGTCATAGTGCCAAACAACGGAAATCTAAGATCTGTGGTATTCCTTCGGTCTTCCCTTGAAACAAACCAAAGAGGGGCACCCTTAAACAAAGAGACCCATGCGAACCTTGCTCGATTCCGAGAGTCGGGTGCCCCACCTCTTGCCCAGAAAAGAAAGAAAAAAAAAGAAAAAACAGATCTCACTTCTGATTGGACACCAGATGCACATGCTCAAAACCACAAAAAGGGGTCCCAAGACTTGAGTTCCTCTTGATGAGAGAAAAGTCAAACGATTAAGGGCGCCCCTGCTGTGGATGGACGAAATCCTGTATGCACCACCTAAGAACCCCTGGGAAACCATTGTTTGTTGGTATTTACCGGAAAGAATCCTCGTTCCAGGGTTTCTCAGGTTGTGCGAAATGGTTTTCGCAACCATCAGTGTGTTGGCTTTCCCTTTAACAAACAAAAAACAAACTCAGAATGTTCTGGTGCCAAATGAATGGTTCGCTTTTCGCTTCCTTATACCCAGAAGGGCAACTTTTCGCCATTCGATTCGGAACAAGAGCACCCTTTCTTCGCTGTGTTTTCAAGGGACACACCCAAGAGAGCCGAAGGTGCCAGCTCCTTGGGATATTACCCACCAAATCCCCACATTCGCGCGGGACTTGGTGGGTAAGGTGAACAGCTTGCTTGGGGCATCGACCCCCCGAGCCCCATAGGCTGTCTTTTTGATACGTTAGTTTGATTCGAAATAGATGGGTTCCACTGGTTGAACAGTTTGGTCCTCCAGTAGAGAGGTTAGAATACGGGTACCAACTTTTTCTTGTTGTCTGTTTTAGTAGGGGGCAACCCTCCCAACCAACAAAGTTGGGAGAGAAAGGGCACCTAGCTGGGGGACCTAGCCTATGTTTCCGAAAACACCGCCTCTGCTAACCCTCAGCCCGGACTCAGAAAAGGCGCGGAGAGATGCCGTCGCACTTGGCCGAGAGCCAGGACCAAACCTTGAGAACGCGACCCTGAAATGGAATTGGGACAAGGTGGACCTCGAATTTCATTTTTTGTTCTCCCCCTTTTTTAAACATATATCTCCGAGTTCTCAAGAGGTTCCATGGAAATTCAGATCGCCATGGGGCTTGTGGATTTCCATGTTTAGACTAGGCTTAAACTAAGTCATCACAATGGGAAAATAATGGTAGCACTTACTGTGCTATTCCCAGATCCCCTGCTAAAAGTCTACATTTAAGTGGCTTTCTTAGAATCTACCATGAAACCCTAAAAGGTAAACAACTGAGGGGACGGTTGGGAACGACCAAGATTGTGTGGCCATTATTTGCATTCACTTCCTTCGGGTGACAAACAAATGACAACTCCGCCAGGTGGATTTCCAGAACTGGCACTGATTTGTTCCATTGACTTTAAAGGGAACCCATCCCCAACAAACGGCAATGGTGGCACGGGGCAACTTTATACCTCGTGGAGGCCATCGAATGCAATCGGGTTTTAATGGGGACTCGATGCCTTTCCCTGAGGTTCCTTGCGAGCAATCTGGCATCCACTGGTGCTTCGTGGGTGTTAAGACGGAAGATCATGGAGCCAGCTGGAGGCGAATGCTTTGGTAAACACACACACACACACACACACGTCGAGCCTCAGTTCTCCAATCCTGTGTCCCCAAACTGAGGGAGTCAATGTCCCCGGCGGAAACAAACAACACGCACCCTATTGGGGTGCCTCGGTCAATTTTGCTGGAAACCAGCGGAAAGGTTCGGCAGAAACGTATGAAGTCACAAGGGTGAGAAAATTCCATGCTCTGATTTCTCTCCTTAGTTGTGTGTGCGTGTGTTGTTTTCGGGGGGGGGTCCCTTCGCCCTCGGCCCTAGGTTGATAGAACCTAACTTATAACTCACGTTGAAGCCCCAAGTGGAGTTCACCCAGTCGGCGGATCAGGTGGCTCACGATCCGGCCAAACACCTCCAACGTCTCTCCTGATCCAATTGAACGGGGGGAACCCACGTTCTGGAGAAGCAAAAAAAGGCAGCGCCGGGCGCCGGGCGCAGGTGTTGGGAAGTGTAACGGCCTGCAAGGCTGGGGTTGGCAGCCGCCTTACAACAAATATATATATATATATATATACACAACCCACCCACCCCTCGGGGGGGAACAAAAAAAAACACAATAAACATAAAAATACACATAACACTTGGTTGCTGTATCGACCCGAACGGCAAAAAGTGATTTCCTTCACGTTTTGGTCATCTTTGCGGAAACTCCGAAGATGTTCGACCAAAGTTAAACGTATCCGAAACCAAGTCGTCACAAAGAAGAAAGCGGCGTTGAAACCAAAGGCTGAGGAGTGGTATGGTTTAAGGTGCAAAGTTGCACGCCTGCAGCTTTGCTCTTCAGTCTAGTGGATGTGTACTGTTTTTTTCTTTTTGCGGGCTTAGGGTTTAGGGTAGTGGATGTGTCCTTCTTTCTTTTTTCGGGGGTGGGGGATGGGCTTTGGGACTTGAGACAAGGGAACCGTAATAAGTCCATCCCAGGCCCTCCAGTAGAGAGGTTAGGATAAGGGTAACATTTGTTCTGTAGTCGATTTTAGTAGGGGAACCCTCCGAACCAAAAAAGGGAAGGGCACTGCGGGACCTAGTCCATGGTTTGACTGTCAACTCCCCTTCTCTTCAGGGGTTCTCTTGGTAATTTGAACCCGGCTGAAAGACTCAGAAAATGAATCCCTTTTGCACGCTTCTTGATTTGCACTGGATCCAGTCTTTAGCAACTTTAAGAGACTCCAGCAATTGCTAAGCTGTTCCTTCAAACAACAAGTCAAATAGGGGGAAAAACTGGCGTGCCTTGAAGGGGACACGGGGACATCAACAAATGGGCTTGCATGTCCACTCTAAAGGGCCTATCAACTCCAAACTAGACACACCATGGGAATGTCTTTTGAGGTTCTCTCTTTCTGTGGTTTTAAAGAGAAACCAAAGGAAAGCCACTGGTCTTCAAAGCAAAGGGGTAGCCGATATTTGTCTCAAACCAGCCCCAAACAGGGGCCTGACCCAGCTGGAGGGTGGTTCGGGCAGAGAGGGTGCCGGAAGGTTCCAGAGGGCTCCGGTCAGGGATAATGTCAACCCACATGAATCACCATCTACTTATTCATAGGGGGGTGTCCGTTTCTGGGAGCGGTTGTGCTCAGACCACTTTGGGAGGGGGCCAAACACCACCCCCTATTCAACTGGTTGGTTGATGGGGTCAACATTCTAGGGGGTGATTCCCGATTCTTTTCAGTCATCGTTCTTTTCAAAAACCAATTGCGATTTCCCCAGGGTGTTTGATGGTTTTCGAGAAAGAAGGATCCCTGCCTGGACAGAATGGCGAAGTTAGAAGCTACCTCTGGAAACATTGTCACCTGGTTGCTGAAATCTTCGGGATCTCTCCCGTCCTGGCACCCCAGGGAGCTGTTGAACCGTGGGCAGTTCGGAGGCAACGAGGACTCCCCCGGCTTCACCTGAGCGAAGTCGGGAGGGTCGACGTCTCACCCCGACGCAAAGAAGAGATCCCCAGTATATGGTGAGCTCACCCCATTGATAAGTGGGCAAATAGTCATCTCCTGTTCGTTTCCTTCTCCCTTGAGCTCGAGCAAACTTCCTCGCTTCCGGAGTTGGCCCTCAAAAATCCCGTGTTTGTTTTCCGTACCAAAATGGTCCAACCCCAAAAGGCGACAGTCCGAAACGGAGCTCAGGGAGCGAGTTGCTCGTTCCGCTTAGACCTTTCAAGGGGTACCAACTCCGAAAACAAGCGACCCGTGAGACCCCCAAAACACACGTGACGGTCACGTTCTGCGGGCAAGGGGTCTCGGCGGAATCCCCGCAAATCGGACACAGGGAAACCAAAAACAAACAAGCCGCGGGCCGTGCGGGGGGGGGCGTTGCCACCTCTCTTGTCAAGAGACTCCTAAGAGGTGTTTAAGAGGTGGCGAAAAGAGGTTCTTTAGGCGACGTTTGACATCACCACCCAGCAATATTGCAGTACAGAAACTCGAATGTTCAAAGTCCATTAAAAAGCAAGGGGCCCCTTGCGCAGGCAAGCCAGGGCCAAGGCACACCGAGAATATGTTTCATATTTGGGTGTTTCTTTAATCGAGGGTAGCCATGTTTTGCGATAATGGAAAACCAAAAGGCAAACTACAAATTTGCGGGGACAAACAAAACAGACACCCCCCATTTTGTTCTTAAAACAAAAATATAAGATCACATGATGAAGTTCGCTGGCTGAATTTTCACCCCCAGGCAGGGGATATATGGAGGCTCCCGACAAACACCCGATGACACCTCCACTTGCGTCAAACATGGGAACGTTCATCGGGCCTTGAGAACAAAAACAAACCAAGGGGTTTGGATAGTTCACCTTGGGCACCTTGCTTGACCCAACTGGATACCACGGTCAAAAAAAGGTGGTTTGCTTCGGGGGTGACTTGAAAGTGTGGACAAGTCACTACACTTTAGGAGTGCGCGTGAGCCAACCATGCATCCTCAAAATGGTCTACCCCACTTGAGGGTTGATGGCCCACAGTTGTGTGGATGGGACGTCCCTTTTTGAATCTTCCCCAAGAAAAAAACCAAGCCATCTACTTTCACACTAAAGTAACCTCAAGCAGTACCGGAAGGAAGCGAGAAGCTTGGAGAAAATGTTCAAGCGGCTGGTGTAATCCTAGCTGATCTGCTGGTCAGATTCTCCCGCTCCAGGAATTCACGGCCCAGTCCAAATGCAACTTTGGGGGGCAACCTGCTGGCTTTCGTTTGGCTCCCTCTCTCAACCAGCATGCGTGGAAAGAACATCCCAAGCTCGTGGGCGTGTCTTTGAAGGTACCTCCCCTTTTGGTGGTAAAGGAAAACCCAAACCGAGCAAGTGCGGGGGAACCTGGCAAAATAACAAACCCTTTGGACAATTCCAAAGCCTGAAGTAGTATACATCATGGTGAGCTCATCCCATTGAGAAGTGGACAAATAGTCCTCCGCTGTTCGTTTCCTTCTCCTGTTGTTCGCCACTAAAATGGTCCAACCTCAGAAGCGCCTAAAGGTCTAAACGGAACTTCTGCAGTAAAAGTGGCAGAAGCCAACAAACTCAAGCTCTCCAGATTTGAGAGGTTAGAATAAGGGCACCAACATTTTTTCTGGGAATTCTCCCAAAAACGGGTGAGAAAGGGCACCAATTGCTGGGGACCTTCCCAGCCTCCGCAGGCAGGTTCCGGGTGAGGCTCTCCGGTACGTTCATGCAGGTCCGGTCCCCGTTCTCCGGCCTCGTGGGAAAAAGAAAAACCAAAGCGGCCTCAACTTCCTGGCCTTTTGTGCTAAATTGTGTGTTTTTCTCCCGTTGGTTTCCTTTTCACTGCCCACTAACAGCGGGCATCTATTTCATCGGTTTCTATTGAGCCGTGAAATCCATTTTCAAATCACCCCGTAAATGGTGCCTTACTCCCGCACGGATTGGGCGATTTCATCCACTCCAACCGAACCAGGAAGCAGATCTCAAGCGTGAAAATTTTCTCTCCGAGGGGCTGTGGGCCCAGCATGCGGCCACTGCCGCAGCCGGAGAAGAAGGTGTTCAGCGCAAAGTCCATGACCTCCTTCTTCTTCATCTTGTCCAACTGGTCGATGCCTCAAAGGCTCGCTCAAACCATACGCTATGGCTCTGGCGAGCAACAAACTTCACAGTCTTGTTTTTCCAGTTGTTTTTCCTTTTTTTCTTTCTGGTCACTAAAGGTAAAGAGAATCGAACATAGTACTGGAAAGAGAAGAGTGAAGTTGTTGTTCATCCCATGGACACTCTGGGCAAATGATGCTTTGCCCAGCTCGGGCCCAGCAATACAAGCTGATCACCTTTTGGGGCCACTCCAAATGGACAGACACCAGCTGGAAAGAAAATGTGCCTGATCCGTCAGGTTCTGAAACCCCTCAAACCTTGCCCAACCCTTGTTTCCCTTTAAACCAACCCAAATGAGTTCCCACTTGGCTTGTTTCATCTTCTGCGTTTCTGCATCTCCTCCGCTTCCCCCTGCCAACAGAATGAAGGACAGCTTCCTTTGGTCCCACTGGTCCTTGTAACAGCCTACGTGTTAGGTTGATTCATCCGGGAATACTAGTACATAACTTTACAATCTTAAAGGGGTGTGCTTTGGCCACAGAGGGTGTGGCTCAAAATTAAACAGGTGGGGCAAACCGCAGCTTTTGGTCCATGTTTCCACTTACCAGGGTTCCATTTTGGGTACCGGGTTTTTGAGCCACAGCCACAGAAAGTAATAAGCCAAAAGCCAAAAAGAAGCCCAAAGGCCCTCTCTTAATCTACCCCCCCCCCAACACCCAACAAATTCCCGCTTTTTTGGGGGTATTGTTTGAAGAACCACGTTTTCTAACGGGTCGTTCCCCCCTTGAGTCAGTGCCATACCCCATCCGCAAAAGATGGGTCGTCTTGGGTGCGAGGTGTCTCGGGTTGTTTCACCGGAACGCTTGGGCACCTGACGTCTGGGCCAGGGAGATGGGGGCGTTGGGGCCAGCCCTGAGGCCTTCAGGAGCTTGGGGAACCTTCCCCAAAAAAGGGTCAACGCGCACCTAGGGGCACCTAGGGGCACCTAGTTCAGGGCTAGATGTCGCTTCTTTGGGCTCCTTTTTTTTCTCCCCTCCCTCCCCATGACACCTTGCGACAGTGACCCAACATATGGAACCGCTCGACCCTCGGGGAACCGCTCCGGAATCGGTTTGGAGCATCTTCCTTGAAAAAACGGGACCGGATTCCGAACGTCGAACGGTTCCATGTGAAAAGGGTGGGAGGGTATTTCTTGGGTGATCGATTCGCCAAGTTGTTGGTATCCGTTCGAACCTACTTATAAGTCCGGTTGGTTCACTTATAAATGGGTTCTAACCCAGATGGCTTGCCACTTGCTAACCTGGCTGAACATCCAAGTATGCCTTGCTTTGTTTAGTGAGCCCATTGTTTTCCGTCTTATTGAACCAAGAACTCCTGGTAGCTCCTTAGCTCCCTTTTCAAAAGCAAATTTGGATACCCCCAGCTCCCCACCAGCTAGTCTATTAATCATTCGGGGGTCTCTTAATATGGGTGTACACGGTCGTTTTGATTCTGATCTCGAGCCATGCCTCTTTAAAATCTTCTGGGCTCGCGAAGAAGTGAACCCCTACCTCTCAAACCAGCTTTAAAACAATGAGTCGATCGTGAATTAAATCCACCAGCACAGACCCCACTTCCATGTCGCTTAAAACTCACACTCCAACCTCGGTTTCTTGAAACAAGCTCAAGGGACGGCCTGGAATCACGTCCATGCCAAAGTGGGCAATCCCCATGACTGGTGTATCAGAACATGGGATTGGTATCACAGGACATCATGTCTCACAAACTTGCAGTGGCACCTCCCAAACACACCGAACAGCTGCAACGTGACAACATGGATGGAGCCAGTTTGTTTGTCTCAAAATGGACTACATTTGCATAAGTCCTCTGGAAAAATCACACCATTTTCTGTAGTGATAGATTCCTACAAGCGTGGATCTTGAACAGGACTCCTCATCCAAACCATACCCTGATTGCGGAATCCAATTTCCTGCCGGGTGAGATTGTCATTTGCTCGCCCTTCATCCACGGCACTCATTTTCTGGATGCTTTGCGTTTGGCTGCGATTGATGCCGGCAATGTAGTACTTGGACAGGTACGTGGCCTGGCCAATGTGTGCGTGTTTGGCATGTGCTTGCAAGCTTTTGCTTGTGTGTGTGTGTGGGTATTCTGTGTCTGTGTGTGTGTGTGTGTGCGCGTGTCTGCATGTCTGTCTGTGCGTGCGAGGATGTGCGTGCGGCCCCAACAGCTGCCCGGGCCATGTTACGCAAAGGCTCAGAGGGCTGAAGCGACCGACTGACTCCCTCCGGCCAAAGGTGGCTGTCGCTTCTTTGTTTGGCAGAAAAGCAATACCAACTGGCAGCAATACCACTTCTGCCAGCTCGCACCATCTCAGCATAGCAATGTTGGACCGCGTCCCCTTGAACAAGGGACCCATGCATAGGTGTCCTTTTGACAAAAAGTAGATGGCCCTAGATGAACTACCATCAAACCAGCGGAACAAAAAAAAAACATCGATTTCTAGACCCGATCTTAAAATGAAACCGGGATACCATCATTTCCTGGGAACGCGGAAATTAGAGTTTCCCATCGAACCCCGAAACTTCGCTATATCCCAAGTCAAGTCAGGCCGTTGGCAAATCTTCACCATTTAATGTCTTATGATAATCAAGTTCTATTTCATACAAACTAGCATTGCGTGCAAAATGCCCACATCTACTTTGATGCTTGAATATCGTTACCAATTCTTCCCCGGAACAAAATGAATCGGCTTCCTTCAAAGCGCTCTTGCAGCCCGGTGGTTTGGGGATTTGAACGGGGAGGGGACGCCCCTCCTGGGCCACCGAGCCAATCCAAATCGCCAAGCTGAAGATTTATGGGGCGATCCCTGCAAAACCCAAGAAACATCGCGTTTTGGTCTGGCCAAGCCTCAAAATCCGCCAGATTCTTATATCCAACCAGGGGTTTGTGTGGTACCCGTTTGGGCGGGTGTTTCTACAGGAAACGAAAAACAAACGCGGCCCCCGAAACCGAGCGGCAGTCTGTGCCAACTCATGGGGTGAAACCCTTCGCAGTTCAGGACATCTGCCTCTTTGGGTTCCGCTTTGGAGGCGCAAGAGAAAGTATGAACAGGTTTCTAAGTCCTCCAGCAGAGAGCTTAGAATAAGGGTGCCCAACTGTTTTTTCTGTAGGCGATTTTAGTAGGGGAGCCCTCCCCCCACCCAAAACAAAAAAGAAGGTAAAAGGGCACTGGAGAACCTAGCTTAAACATGAAATCTGAAAGGCTGTTGGTGAAATTGAGCCCAAAACCGCGGCTACTTCTTCGGACCTTCGGCCCATCGACCCGAAGGCACGCTGCGGGCCTCTGATGCTGCATCGCAGTCTGCCACGAAGAGGTCGGTTCCGTAGCTGGCGGGCCTTGAAGCGCGAAGTTCAAGGCCCGCGTTTCAGGGGACACCAAACGGATCCCAGCAAAAAGGAAGCCACTTTGCCAGGGTCCACTTATGAACACAAGCCTGCAGGACTCAGCTCTACTCGGTGGCGAAATCTGCTCCCCTGCGAAAAAAAGAAAGAAAAACATAGTGGTTTAATACGGAAAACCCATTGGTTTGCAAAAAGTTGAAGTCCTAACATCCCTTGGCAAAATGCACCAAAGTCTATCTATTTACGACACATTGTCACATCTGGCGGGGATTGTTCAATCAGACCCGTTTTCAATCCGGTTCACCTAGATTGCCCAGAGAACCAAACAAGAGCCTCTTTGTTGTTTTTCGTTTGTTTGTTTTTTTTTTTGGGGGGGGGGCAGATGCGGAACACGAACACATCCCTGACAAAAAACATCTGCCAGCCTGACGGATCTAAAAAGGCTTGGGGAAGAACAATACCTCGTCAGCCGGCCACTTCGACTAGGGCCTCCATAGAGAGGTTAGAATAAGGGTAAACTTTGTTCTGTAGTCTATTTTAGTAGGGGAACCCTCCCAACCAAAACAGGGGTGAGAAAGGGCACTGCTGGGAGACCTAGTTGAACATGCTCGAGCTCGCAATTCATTCCAGCTCGATCTTCCAGAATCGGAGTGGGCCTCTTCGTACAGCCGTGGCTTCGCCGGGGGGCGGAGGTTTCACCCATACGAGCCACGTCCTAAACGTGTCATGATTTGCTATGTCGTATCATGTTGCTTGCGCCACTAATTAGCTGATGCCGCCTTGCGCGCGTGGGCTCTGTGCTTGGTTGCTGTAACGGCCCCTCTACAAACAGCTCTTCACTTTTTGTGGGTCCACTTCGGAAAATCCGGACTGTTTCAACCAACAAGTTGTTAAAGTCCAATGCGCTTTTTGTGGATTTCACCCTTTCTTCCCCCTGTTGGTTCTATTGTAGAATTCTTCTATAGTACTCTTTTCATATCCTACAGAGTACACAGATTCCACCTCCAAACCGTTTTCAGGAAATCGCCAGAAAGATTTCAAACGGCCCAACTCCTTGTGCTTGCCTAGTCTAAACATAAGGTCTCAAAATATGCCGAAGAAACGGGGCTTTTCCTCTTGGTTTCGCGTGAACTTTTACCCAAAACAAGGAACCCTTCAAAAAATCCGATGATTGGAACAGAACTGGGCTGTCTGACTTCAAGACCACGCTGTTCGAGACCTGCGTTCCGCCCTCGTAGCTGAACTCCTGATAGCCTGCGAGGCCGAAGGGCGCGGAGTTCCGGAATCCAGAAATCAATGCTCCACAGGACATGCTCAGTTTCTTCTTAAAAAGAAAAAAAGAAAAGAGCTACAGGAAATTGGATTGCCAAATACCCGAAGTCTCAAGAAGGGAACATGCCGTTAGCATATCGAGAAATGCGCTTTCCTTTGTGTCTAGCTATATCAAAGCTCATCAAAGTTGATTGCTATCCCGAAAGAAATTCATGGAGCTCGCACAAAGCCCGTGCTCAGTTCGGGGAGAAAGAGAACTAGGGGGATATCCGCAAAGTGGATAGCCTCAAAAGACGATGAAAAGAATCCACAAAAATACCCTGATTCCTTTCCTCAACATGCACGAAAGCCGCGAAATGCATATCTTCCTAAGCTTATAAGCAGCTTGGGACCCCCTCCCCCCGGAATGGAGGACAATTCTTGCAGTCTATTTTGCAAACTCTGGATCCTTTCACACATATGTTTTGAATGCCTATGGGTCTTTGCCCGCAAAATACCCACTCCCCGTTCATGGACCTCCAGTTTGGGTCCTGGGGCCTAGCAGGGGAAGCATACAGCAAAGACCCATCGCCTTTTGGTTTCCCTTGGGCTTTTACCTGAGGAGAATCGGTCCTGGCTTGGACGATGTTCCTTTTAAAGGGACCCCTGTCAGGTTGATTGTGAAAAGGGTGGGAGGGTAAAACATTGCTTCTATTCAGGTGCATGATATGGAAAGTCACAGCTTCTATACCAATGTTGGCCATCCCAGCAATACTTTGTCATTGGGGGATTCTGTTGTTGCCAAAAATGGCAACCTACTTCCCACCATACGTATCTCTAGCCTACCTTCTAAGTAGGCCACAACCAAGTTTGGAAAACGACCTCTGTTGTCCCACCTGCAATCGTCTATTGGGTGACCCGATCAACGGGTTCTGAACAAATCGGGATGCTGCGATGACCGTCCTTTGGTGACCCCGATTGGACCGCGCTTCTTGGCCATCTGGCATACGATACTATTCCATTGTGTGTCAAAACGATGACGCACTTTGGGGTACACACAGATTCTATCTTCATATTTCGTGCACCAGTACCCCAAATATAAGTTAACATGTTTGCAGACCTCCATTTGCTTACGCCCCCGGAAAAAAAGAAAGTGAACGATTCCTTTTAAAATGAACACGTGAAAATGAAACAAAATCCTTTCAGCAAACAAAGGACCTCAAGTTTCCGCTAGACTCAGTCGAAGCCAAACCTTCAACGGGCGACCATCGATCAGATAGGCGCTAAGGAACCTGTCGAATCGAACATCCAAGTATGCCACTTTGCTTTATGTTTATGCAAGGACCGGACACTGTTGACCGCATATTCATCTTAACCCTTAGTACTAGGGGGATGGTCCCCTCCCAAAGTGGTCCTATTCCAATCACTAACCCAGAATCGGACACCTATTGATAACTGGTTGGCTGATTCCTGTGGGGTCAACATTCATGGGAACCCCGAATCGAAGCATCCGATCGATCCGATCGATCGATCCGATATTCGCCTCCGCAGAGCGCCATGGCTGCTGCCTCCACGTTGCGGCTGAAGGGCAGGAGCCAATAGTAGCAGGAGAAGCCGATGACGCCTCCCGGGCTTCCATTTCCAAAAACGCCCGTGTTTGTATTTGTTTACACAAATTCCAGTAGTAACGGAATCCTTTTCAACCAAGCTTTCAAAAAAATCCAGTAGTAACGGAATGCTTTAAAACCAACAAGGGAAAATATAACCATGGCTCTTAAGCAAATGGAAGTTTGGTCTCGGAAATTCGCCAATTCGCTTTTTCCCCCATGGCCAACATAGGGGTTCTTAAATGCTCCCCGATCGAGTGGATTGGTCGGCAAAAGGAACCGTGAAGTTTTGGGGTAGACCACGAAAATGGTTCAAACCCAAAAAAGAGACTAAAGTCCTGGAACTCAGGAAGTGATAAAGGGTATGTTGGGTTCTGAAAAGTGGACGCGAGCCTCAAAACGCTTGGCGTGCTCTTGGTTTTCTTTGAAGCCAACCCAAAGGGGATACCCTATCTTGATCCTCAGGTACTCAGATCTTGGCAAGCAAAGTGGTACACAGAAAATGAGATGAACAAATTCCGCGACATATTCAGCCAGCCCTAAAATATGAAATAGTTTTGGAGGCCCATCCCCCTCAGGCAACATAAGTGGCTAAAAAAAATCCTCTAGTCATGACTAAATTGGGCTTCAAAAAACTCCGCACCGCCATTCTATTGATTCAATATTTTGTAGTACTCAGATCTTGGCCCACAAGAAGCGGGCGCACAAAAAGCATATTTCCGGATTCTGCTTCGTATGAGTCAACCCGCTAAAGTATGAACGGTTTTGGCGACCCCAGACATAGTCTGGGCAAACATCAAAGCCAAAGCCAGGACTTCCTGGAGAGCTCGACGCAGAACCCCCCCCCTTCCCTTCCCCCAACTTGTTTAGATGGCTGGGGCTTGCTCAACCGCCCGGGCTACGGATTCGATGCATAACCTGGCCCCTTAAAAAGGTGAAACTGGATATACGCCATGTGAATCGGCTAGACATGGCAACAGAGATCACCACTCTGTGGCCAGTGGATCAAAGGAAAAAAACAAATGCCCTTGAAAGTGGCTGGCTTGAAAGGGAGCCGACGCAAAACAAACTTAACTAGGTCCTCCAGTAGAGAGGTTAGAATAAGTTGCTACCAACTTGTCTGTAGTCTATTTTAGTAGGGGAACCCTGCCAACCAAAAGGGCTCCAAGGGCACCAATTGCTGGGGGACCTAGTTCAAAAGGACGGTTCGGGCGGGCCAAGCAGCTTCACCACGAGTCTTGAAACCACTCGTTTTTCTGGTTGGGGTGTGTCTTTGTTAGGGTATATACCCTTTCTTGGTCTGTTTGAAAGGGACACCAAAAGAACATCCACCCATGGGGGCGTCCCCTCGAACCAAGACACAGTCACATAACCCACAAGGTCTACAGAACAAACCTAGGTCCTCCAGTAGAGAGGAGAGAATATGGGGACCCTTTTTTTCTGGAGTCTAGGGGAACCCTCCCGCAAAAAACGGTACAAAAGGGCGCAGGGGAACAACACCCCGCAAAAAGGGGGTAAAGCTTGCAAGACCTCGAAACCTAGCGGATCCATGGCAGACCTGGCTTTCAGGTCACCAAACCCGCGGTTGCGGCATTGCGCCGCTCGCGCTCGGTGCTTCGCGCCGAGCGGCCGGCGGTGATCAAGTAGCGCATCAAGTCGCGCCTTGCGCGACTTGCGAGCGGGGAAGGTTCGAACTGGAACCAGAAAACCTATCCCCGAAGTAAAAACAGCGTTTAGGTGTCCAATCTTCGAGCTGTGCAGCAGACATGGGGTTGTTGGGTTGTAGGTTGGACTTTCATGAAAGAAAGAAGAACGCGCAGGGAAAAGGTCAGAAGGAAGCGGAAAACCCAACCATGGAAGTTTGGTCGCCAATTTATTCAGTCCCTTCCAAGCGACCCGAGCCCGGTTCGCGCTCGTCGCCAAGGCGCATGGGCGTGTCCCTGCGGGTCGTGGTGCCACACGTGAGGGGCTCGATCTTGGGCAAAAGGCCTCGATTGGGTGGAGTTTTTGGGCCGTCGAAGGGCTAGGAAGATATGGCTGTGGGTCAAAAACAGGTACCCAAAATGGAACCCTGGTAGATGGAACCAATGCCTAAAATCTGCGGTCCACAGGTGGTTTAATTTTGACCCATACCCATATAGCCCTGGCAGCTAGGGAAACAAAGTTTTTCTTTTAGATTCGGTAACCCGCTCAATGGGTTCCAATAAAAATGGTCGCAAGAAGAGCGATGGATTCCCGGGGTGGAAAACACGCTTTTGCTGGGCTCAGCCAGACTCTGTGACTTCAAGCGCGATTCCCAAGAATTCAAAACAAAAGAAAACAGGATTGCCCAAACAGCTCACTCTCCCCCAACCATGGCTGAGGCTGTATGCATTTCTCATGCAATTCAATCCTCTGGAAGGGGCCCTTATTCGTGGTTTGAGGGTCAGATTACTGGCGCCACACGATGCTCCCAAGCCTGTCCAAACAAAAACGCCTCCCGCGTGGTAATGCGCCCCTTCAAACAGCTTTCCCTTTCAAGCTGCCCACATTCACTTCCCTGAAAAAAAGGTGGTTTGGACTAGTGGTTTGGTGGTGAGGGGGCGGTTTCCCAGGAATCTTCTACAAGAACCAGGGGTTCAAAAACCCCGAACCACAAATCCAAAGCTCCAACTACGAGGTACCTGGGTTGATGATTAGATAGCCCAACAAAACAATGCAAACTTTTGGCTTACCACTAAACTGGTCCAAACCCAAAACGCTTAAAGTCCAAGAACTCAAGTGAGACTAAGAGGTACCACAGGTAGCTGAGGGATGTGGCTGTGGGTATATACCCTCTACCCCCGGTGAACATCCAAATAGGTGGTACATGGGTGTTCATCCGCCCCAAAATAGAGGCATAAGTTATGACCCATGGCCATGTGATTGCCTGTGCCTGAGTACATCCTGCTGGATTGTTTTTTGTTGAACCGCCGCTCCTCGCAGCTTCTCAGTGAGGAGGACATTGGCCAGCAGCTCGTCTACGTCGAGCACGAAGGCCAGGGCCACAGCGTTCAGCACAATGTCCTCGGCTCGGTCGCTTGTCGCAAGCGCATGGGTGAGGGGTGGGGGGGGTTGGGCCAGCGCTGGGCCACGGCGGGCGTTGGAAGTGCGCCAGGGGTTCATACATGGGACTGGAGGAGTCCCCTAGAAAATGGGGCCATAACCTCATTTTCAGAAGCCCCAGTGATTCCATTTCACTGTCTGGTAGGAAACCAAGGGCTTGCCACCCTACAAAAACTAAAAGAAACATGGCGAAGGGTTGCCTGGGTAACTGGGATTCACTGGGTTTTCGGGTCACTAGTGAGAAATATGTTGTTGTACAAGTCAATTCTTCAAGCTTGTGTCATCGAATCGGGCACTGTGAATCACACGCCACGGCTCGCCCGCGGTTAACTGTGAGAACATGTTGCATGGGCTGTTCCCCTTCGATCACCTAAAAGTCTGTCTAACTTTGAGAGGCTTGCCGATTAAAAACCGACGAACACCACTCAAACCGACTAAAAAACAACTAAACCACTCAAGGGGAGGGAATCACCAAGGGGCTGGAAAGACATGCCTCAGGCCCCGCTTTTTAGAGACCACCGAAACCCATGGATCGCGCGCCCATTGCGGTGTGGATTTCGCGGCCCGAAGGGAAGCTCCTGGAAGCGAACGGCGAAAGTTGCCTGCAATGACCCCTCTGCAAAACGTTTGTCGCTTTGTGTGGGTCCAACTTGGAAATCCCGGCCTGTTTTTTTCAACCAAAAAGCCTAAAGTCCAAAGATCCGGTACCACATAGCCATAAAGTGAGAAACAGCAGATGGCCCAACTCCCTTTGCTTGCCCAGCTTAAACAGAGGGTATCAAAATAGGCTGGGTCCTGTAGACAGGTTCGAGTAAGGCTACCAATTTTTTTCGGCCGTCAATTTTAGGGGGGTTCCCCTCCCAACCCAAAAAAGTTGGGTGAGAGGTCGGGCACCAATTGCTGGGGGATTAAGGGGAACCCCAAAAAACGGGGCCACCAAGTCCCTCCGAGGCGCGCTCAAGGAGGGCGTTTGTGCCAGGTACTGGCACCCGATGACCGCCAGGAAGCCTGAGTCTCCGAGTCTGGGCCAAAGGAGTCGTGTTGGGTATGGGCCGCGTCGTTGGTCTTCTTTGGGGAACCAAGAATAAAGTGAGCCATCTGCTCGTGTTCTTTTTAGGATACCCCCCCCCAAAAAAAAAGAAGAAGAAGTGCTTTTCCTTTTGGCGTAGCTTCTAACACTATCAAAAAAAAGGTACCAACTCCAAAGACGAGGCAACCATGTCTCTTGTTTTAAGAAGCTCGCTAACCTTGGGTTGGTTGAGGGCACCAACACCACAAAGGACACTTCGACTTCCTACGCGCATCGCTGCGCGGTCCTGCCAGAGTTGAAAGGGAAAATGGCCGGAGAGTCAAAAAGGCAGCAAAGTACTCTAGGGGTAACTTCCCCATTCTTTCCAGGAATCCTCTTTCTAGAAAACCACCAAAAAACCTGGGGAAATGGCTGGTTTTTGGAAAAGAATGATGGCTGAAAAGAATGGGGAATCAACCCCTAGAAGCAAACTTTGTTTGCCCAAAGGAAACCAAAAGTGGATGGGTTGTTCTTGTTGTTTCCCCTTTTTTTTGTCGCACCCACTTTTCACCAAGAACAGTTGGGCAAGTTGGTAGATGTCACAATTCCAACCCATTTTGGTTACGCATCCCCTTTATCCACAAGGGATTTGTGCAGTCTAATAGAGGCTATGGTAAAGGCAACCTGGGAATGTTTCAACCAAGGGAGCCATTTGGTGTTTCCTTTGAAGATCCCCCGATAAAAAATAAAGGAAACAAAAGTAAACATGTGCTTTTCGTGTTGGTCTTGCTTTAAAGCCACCAAAGAAGGGCTTCCCAAACAAAAGAAACAACAAACCAATTTCCAGAGGGCAACTGAACATCTTCCCCGCAAGTGGCTCCCAAGCGCCTTTTTCTTCTTGCACGCCAGGACAGCTGGGGATCTTGATGTAGACTTGCGGTGTCAAACTGAGCTATTCCCCTTCCGAAGCCCTGTTAATCGTTTAACTGGTCAAATGGACAACTCCCTAAACCCACTAAATACTCCCAATACCTATGGGGCGGCTGGGAACCGCCAAGAAAATGGACCTCCTTGGGCGTCGAATGGCTGGGACAAAGGTGGGGGAAGCGACAGCTTGGTTTGAAAGTAGTTACTCTCCTGTCCACATGGAACCGAGGGATGGCTGAAATCGATGTTCCTTAAGAGGCCTTTTTCAGTGGCCATAGTCCACACTTGCCCAAAGGACCCGGAAACCAAAGCTTCACCTTGTGGTTACCCCCACTCAAAAAGGACCAAAACGTGAAAACCAAAAGCTGAGAAAAGGTCGGCTTTGGGCTGAGAAAAGGACACTTTCTTCCAGCAAAAGTTGAACGATGGGTTTTAGGACCGAGTTTCTGTCGATCCAGCGATTGACATGAAACAAGCACCAACTTGGGGCGGCCTGTTGACACCACGCACTTCGCCTCGTGGACCCCAAACCAACAAACCAACCAAGCCAAGTCAAAAACAACCAAACAATCAAACCAAACCCAAGCAAACAACCAAACCAAACCAACCAAACCAACCAAACAGGGCCAAACAATCAAGCCAAACCCAAGCAAACAAGCAAACCAAACCAACCAAATCAAACCAAACCCAAGCAAACAACCAAACCAAACCAACCAAACACGGCCAAACACGGCCAAACAATCAAGCCAAACCCAAGCAAACAACCAAACCAAACCAAACCAAACCAACCAAACCAACCAAACCCGGCCAACAATCAAACCAAACCCAAGCAAACAACCAAACCAAACCAACCAAACAGGGCCAAACAATCAAGCCAAACCCAAGCAAACAAGCAAACCAAACCAACCAAATCAAACCAAACCCAAGCAAACAACCAAACCAAACCAACCAAACACGGCCAAACACGGCCAAACAATCAAGCCAAACCCAAACAAACAACCAAACCAAACCAAACCAAACCAACCAAACCAACCAAACCCGGCCAACAATCAAACCAAACCCAAGCAAACAACCAAACCAAACCAACCAAACAGGGCCAAACAATCAAGCCAAACCCAAGCAAACAAGCAAACCAAACCAACCAAATCAACCAAACCAACCAAACACGGCCAAACAATCAAGCCAAACCCAAGCAAACAAGCGAACCAAACCAACCAAACCAACCAAACCCGGCCAAACAATCAAGCCAAACCCAAGCAAACAACCAAACCAAACCAAGCAAACCAACCAAACCCGGCCAAACAATCAAACCAAACCCAAGCAAACAACCAAACCAAACCAACCAAACACGGCCAAACAGGGCCAAACAATCAAGCCAAACCCAAGCAAACAAGCAAACCAAACCAACCAAATCAAACCAAACCCAAGCAAACAACCAAACCAAACCAACCAAACACGGCCAAACAATCAAGCCAAACCCAAGCAAACAAGCAAACCAAACCAACCAAACCAACCAAACCAACCAAACAATCAAGCCAAACCCAAGCAAACAAGCAAACCAAACCAACCAAATCAAACCAAACCCAAGCAAACAACTAAACCAAACCAACCAAACACGGCCAAACCCAACCGAACAATCAAACCAACCCAACCAACACCCGGGCAAACAATCAAACCAAACCCAACGAAACAATCAAACCAAAGCCAGCCAGAGCAATCCAAACAAGAGAGCCGAACCACCGAACCCAGCCAAACAAAGAAACCAAACCAAATCAGCCCAACCCAGGAAATCCAACCAAAGCCAGACAAAGCAATCCAACCAAAGCACTCCAACCAAAGCCAGCCAAAGCAATCCAATCAAGCAAAGTGAACACACCCAACCCAGCCAAACAGTCAAACCGAACCAGCCAAAGCAATCCAATCAAAGCCAGCCAAAGCAATCCAACCAAGCAACCAAGAAAGAAGCGAACCCGAAAGCAACAAGCAAACATGAACATGTCTCTTTCGCGTTCGAATGGGTTCAGATTGGCGAGTGGCCCATCACGAAGAGCCGGGGAAGGCAGAGCAGACAAAGAGCCACCCAGCGCAAACATGGCCTCGGGACTGAGCTCCGGAGTCGATTGCAGAAAGCTCTTCCCACTCATTGGGGGTTTGGATTGGGGCTTTGAATTTTCGTCACCGCAGATTGGATTTACCCTCCCACCTTTTTCACGCATGGAACCCTTTGACGTTCGAGGGGTCCTGGTTTTTACAATTTTCCCTTTTGAAGGGACCAGGTCCCGAACGTCGAACGGTTCCAGGCATGGCGGGAGGGTCACACTGCAATGGTCCAGTCCCACTGAAACGGACCCCAAAGATGGCAACGGTGTCCCTTGAGTTGACCCGAAGGACACACCACAACTAGGTCCTCCAGTAGAGAGGTTCGAATAAGGGCACCTTTTGTTTCTGTAGTCTATTTTAGTAGGGGAACACTTTTGGTTTGGAATAAGATAATATTCCCGCAAGATGATTAAAGTCCAGGAACTCAGGGAGGGAAAAATGAGGAGCCACTCACTTTTTGGTTCTTTTGGTTGTCTTTGATCTACCCCCTCACGCGGATAGAGGCTGAAAGGGCTTGCTGTACCGTCCAGGTTCGGTCGCACCGGGTCGCACCCCTGAAATCCAAACCCTGACTCCAAAGTCTTTTCGTTCACTCCGGAAAGCACGGGCAAGGTCCAGAAAGAGGAGTCCGCAAATGTCTGTGCCCGGATCCAGTTCCCCCTGCATCTCCAGCAAACAAAAAGCCGAAAGGCTTTCGCAGGCAACCGGAATCCTGCTGCAAGTTTCATCGAGTTCAGGAAAAGCAAGGATCTCGGATCCCTGGCGAAAAAAGTCACCTGCGAGAAGTCGAAAACTGGTCGTGGTTTAGTGGAAACGACGACGAAACCAAAGAAGCTGCCCGGGGTTCTCTCCGCAACCCTCCTGTTGAACCCTCCTCGCAAGCTGCAAACCAGCTTCGCCTCTCTGGGCCTATGGACCCCATGTCAGCTCAAAACCTTGCACCTCACCGGCAAATCCAAGATCTGTGTCTCAAAACTGGGGACCCTGCAATCCCAAGACTGGCTCGTCCTTTTTTGGATTTACCCCTTTTCTTGTGGCTTTTAAATGGAAACCGAAAGAAGATTGAAATCCATTTGGGGGGGTTCCGCTATTTTGAGACAAACCCAAACATTGGGCCTTGGACCCCGAAAAACCTCAAATCACTCAGCTTCCCTCAAAAGAGGGGTGGTCTGGATTGGTGGTTTGGTGATTCCGGAGGGGTTTCCCGCTACACCTTACGAGAACCAGGCATTCAAATCCCCAAACCACCAATCCAAGCCACCAATCAAGGGTAACCTGATTCAATCACAGGGTCTTCCAGGGGTACCTTCCCCATTCTTTCCAGGGCTCCTTCTTTTCAGGAAACCATCAAAAATTCAGGGGAAGCAGATCCGGTTCTTGAAAAGAACCATGGTGGAACAAAAATGAACAGGAGTCAACCCCTCGAGCTTAGACTAAATTGGAACCAACTTTTTCCTGTAGTCGATTTTAGTAGGGGGTTTCCCCTCCCAACAAAAGTTGGTAGCACCAATCGCTGTGAGACCAATGAAAGGCAACCCAGGCTCCAATTTTTCGGGCCTGACGGAAAATTTTAGGGGACGAATCCCCGAGGCCAGGGCTGGATGCCCTTGATCTCGATCCTTCCGTGGTCGCTCACCTCCGAGAACTCGTCCTAAAAGCGGATTCGTGGGTTGCCGTGCGGCTGCTTTCCGCGAAAGGAAGATTTCCTGGACCGTGGGGTTGAGGATCCCGTCGCATTCTTGAAGACGGAGCACAAGGGCTATTGCGGATTCAAGAGGATAAACTTTTGCACGCACCCAAAAAAAACATGGTGACACAAGGGTCCGTCTCAAACTACCGAGCCCACTTGGATGGCTACAAGGAAGCCCAAAGGAACCAGCAAGTCTTGGGCCCCGTTTGAGACACGCCCAGAAGTCATCCATGTCATGCGCCGATCCTCACGCGTACTTCGGCTAAGAGGGTGGCCAGGACCTGAAGAAAGGCACAAGGAGCAAAGCTTCCTCCAGAGAGGTTCGAAGGGGACAATTTTTTTTCCGGTCGATTTTAGGGGAACTCTCCCAACCAAAACAGGGGTGAGAAAGGGCACTGGGAGACCTAGTGGTCCATGGCAAGGTGGACCAAAGGGTACCCTCCCTCCCACCAACATGGCACTTAGGCACTTGTCGGAGGGTACCTGGAAGACGAATTTCCTCTTCGGGGGCCTGTCAAGTTTGAGAGGTTACCTACGAAAAAAAAAAAAAAAAAAAAAAAAAAAAAAAAAAAAAAAAAAAAAAAAAAAAAAAAAAAAAAAAAAAAAAAAAACAGACTAAAACCTGACTGGAACCACCAACACCGACAACAACTAAACCACTTCAAGGGTATCCTTTTTTGGCGAGGGGCTTCGCTTTTTTTGGACCGCACAAGTTGTCCTTGTCGTCCAGGCGGGGGAGGTTGATCACCGCCTGGGCCTGCTCCAAACAGTGGCGGTACTCCACCATGATCGTCAGCCTCAGAATGGGCTCGTGTTTTTCTTCTTTTTTTGAATTGGACCTTTCAAAGTGGCGAAGCTTCGTTGTTGCTCTTTTTTTTTGGGGGGGGGGGGAGGGGGTGGAATTGGACCTTTCAAAGTGGCGACTTGCGGTGTTCCTTTGAGAGCCACAAGAAAGGGGTACCCTGTGAAAAAGACAGCAGTTGGTGGTTGACCCAGTTTATTCCAGTATTGAGACTAAAAGGAACAGCCAACTAGAGGTGTCTCCAAACTGGGAGCTTGCTCTTCCCACCCCCACCCCCCGAACGAGCAACAAATGGTGATCCATCTTTACTAGGTTTTGTGGAGAAGCTAATTTGTTTCCAAAAGCGCTTCTCTGGGGCGATTCGGTCACAAGACCGGCCATGAACATGGCAGACCACCTTTGGCTTGAAAAGGAAGAACAAAAACTACGTCCTCCACTAGAGAGGATAGAATCAGGGTACCAACTTTTTTGTCGGTTTTGTCTATTTTAGTAGGGGAACCCTCCCCCAAGAAAGGGCTTTAAAGGGCACTACTGGGGGACCTAGAAAAAGGAAACAACAATCACAGACCCAGAACGGAAGAACTCCGGATCGTAAAGGAGCCCAAACTGGCATTAAACCCCAGCGAGCTCGCTAGAACCTTACATAATTACATAAGGTTAAACCGCCAGTGAGGCTGTCGCTCTTCCCCAGGCCAATCGACCCCGAGCAATCACCCAACAAAAAGAACACCCCTAAATCAAGGAAGCACAAGAACATCTTTAAGTTAAACCACATACGCGCAAGTATCGGCGACAATCAATATATGGCTGTGGGTCAATAATAGGTACCCAACATGGAACCCTGGTATATGAAAACATTGACAAAACCTGTCCCCTGGTGGTGTAATTCTGGCCCATACCCAAATGCGTATCTTTCATTCAAACTGACTCAGACCTCTCGGAGCACGTCCAAGCCGGGTACCCCTAGACGCTCGGTTCCAAGGCGCACCCAGAGGATGATCGCCAGCGTGGAGAGGATGATCCCCGGCATCGGCTTGTAGAGGTACTCGTACATCTCCTTGGACGAGCGCAAGTAAGTAGGCCGTGCTCACGAGTGGGCGGTCGTCCGATGTAAGTGAGTGGAGCAACGAGAGCAAAGAGAGAGAGAGAGAGAGAGAGAGAGAGAAAGAGCAAGAGCAAGAGAAAGAGAACGCGCAGTTCAAGTACGAGCTGAATGGCGAAATGGCGCCAATCTGAATAGGCCAAGCAACCCTCCTCTTGGCCAAAAAAAGCTGGAAGACACGAAAGAAACAGGATATGTTTCACATTCGGTCAACACTGTTGACCCTTGTGCTGCTTCATACTCAGACCCTAAGTTGAGTAAGCCCATATTCAAACCTCGGAGGAGACCCTCCTGACTTCGGCTTCGGATTGTGTAAGCCCCATAGGCGAACTCTGGAACATCCAAATTCGATGTTCCCTTGGATCCCTTTAGATTCACCTCAAAATGGGCATGTATCAACTCCAATAACACAACAACACCACTGTTTACGGGTGAGCAGAATATCAATCAATCTGTCGGTGGGTTGCCACCTCGCACAAGCAGGCCCCCAGTTCAGCAAAAGCACGTACTCTCGCACGCACGCAACACGAGAACGCACCACAAAATGCAAACAACGGTCTCTCACCCCAGGACGAATGATAAATTGGAACCTTGAAGGTAACATCCCCTAGAAATGATTTCATCCTTACGAATTATTTCATGCTCATGACTTGTTTCTAAGTGTGGCTTCCTTGACAAACACCAAGAAGAGTAAACATCTGCACAATCTGTTCTACGAGTCCCTGGCTACAACTTGGCCAGAGGCATGACTCTTTTGCAATATCAACAAGCAAATGTGGCTGTGGCTTATACACTTTTTAGGCCTTGACACCCAACAACCGGACTACATAATGACACCGCATGGGTCTTCTATTATACACCCTTGAGTAGACCCCCACTCACTTTGCTGGGTAAATGACGGAAACGCGCAAGCAAGGGGCAAACAATATAATTCCCCGCCAACTTACGGAACTTTGAGGACCGGCCCTCACCCCTTCTGGTCCTCACTAGAATCATATCAACTCAAGAGTTTTCAGACTTGCGGGGTTCCATCACGCCTAACCCAGATCCCGGTTTCCACTATAGCCAACCTAGGTCCTCCAGTAGAGAGGCTAGAATAAGGGTACCAACTTTTTTCGGTATTGTCTATTTTAGTAGGGAAACCCTCCCCCAAAAAAAGGTAAAAGGGCACTGCTGAAAAACATAGCAACATATCGTTTTCCAAGGGTTCCCTCAGTTACCTACAAAATTACGGAAATGGAACCACCGGAGGACCAGCATTGACACCCCGAAGCCCATCCGGGTGGTGCCTGGGTCATTCCCGAGCACCAGCCGGTGGTTTTACCAATGAGGGAATCTGAGTGAACTTGAAAAGCTGCAACTGCCGACACCGCCACACCTTGGGAAAGCCACGGGAACTCCAAATGATCCTTGGTTCAACCCCTCCTCTTTCACCCAGCGGAAACAAACCCAGGAAAGTGGTACTTTTTTTGGAGAAGAAACGCATACAGGGGTTGGCGTTTGATCTGTTTGCGATCCGTTGTGACAGCTGTGGGTGAAATAAACAACCCCAAACCTCATTTGCGGTCCGTGCAACCAAACACCAGCCAGCAAAGGCGCTGGGTGAAAAAAGCCAGCTGTGCCGGGTGGCATCATACTGATCCTGCTCGTAGGACCATAGCTCACGGTTGCACAGCCGCGAGATTTGGCTCTTCCCCTCACAGAAAAGCGGTTAGGGGGCAACCAAAAAATGAAACCCTATAAGTAACGGGTTAAACCACCTGCCAACTGGTGCAGGAATGTGCCCATCCACGATACCCTCTCACTTGCCCCATTTGGTCAACCAATCCTGAACCTAGCATCAACCCTGACAATCCAATGTATGCACATATCGCCTACATTGGCCGACGCCAGCGTTTTTCAACTACATTGACCGATAAACCTGAATGTAGCCAATTTTTGGGGACATTCAACCCGACAACTTCCAACAAGGGTTCCGACAAGCCTTCCGACAACAAGCTCGCCTCAATTTCGACAACTCTATCCGACGACACCCTCCAACCACCCTTTCCCAATGCCTTTCCGACCGCTAACTTAACTCACAATGCAGGGAAATACAAAGGCATACCGCAAATTGATGTACGGACAAAGCTTAAACTGCGAATGACTGGCAACAACTACAGGGCACAAACAGGGCACAAAATGACTCGAGCCAACCCCGGCTATCATTGTCAGTAAATGTTGGTTGCCTGGCATGCAACAGAAGGAATCGACTAGCATAGTGTAGCAGATCCCGCTGAGGACTTCCGATTGTAACGTTAACCTTTTTGACGGGCTGGCTTGCTTGACGAAACAGTGCGGCGACGAAGCACGGGTGCGATAGTTCAATCCTTTCAGGCCACACCACGAAGCACATTTCCAGCACAGGATCACACCAAGGCAACGCCGGTCAGCAAAGATCACTCAACAAACATAATTATTGCGCATGGAGGACAACAACTCCTTGCAAAACACCTCCCGCCAGCAGTCACTCTCAACAAAACCTATCCAAACGCTCATGGGGGTTGATACCCCCCAAACTAAACGATGAAGTAGAATGATGCCACATCGTTGTTGTCCACAGGGACACAATTTCGTCAAGTTGCCCGTGTGTAGCTTAAATGCGTGTTGCTTCCTGATTGCGAGCTAAGTTGCTATTATGTTTGACGCGTGCCTACGCAGTGGCGATGGATCATCATGACAAGCTTGTTCGCGTGCCATAAACCGTCGACCGAATGTAAGGGTTCTAACTTCCAACAACCACATCTCCAACCAAATGCTTGCTTGACAACACGCCGCAACCCAGTCCAGAGCGCAGCCCAACTTAAAAAGCCCTTGTTGTTCAAAGCATGTTTCATTTGTTTCCAGGAGGCTCACTTTAAACGCATGCTAGCCTGCTAGCAGTTCCCAACCACCATTCGAGCGGCAACTGCTTGCCAAGCGAAATTTCACTGGTCGGATAGTGATTGAGGCTCTACACCTGCCATGCCCCCATGCCGCAATGCAAAATTCACAGACTTAACAAAAAACAGCTTGCTGTACTTAACAAACGTGAATGTCAAACGAGATGTGCTGGGAACGGCTCAAGCGGCGGTCTTGAGGAGAATGATTGAATATGACGCAGTTCAAGCCCCATATGTTGCTTTGCAAGGACTCGGTTTATCGGTGAAACCCAACTATAGAGGACACGCGTAACATGTTTGTCTAATGCTCTCCTTGATTAAACATGTCCTTGTCAGCTTCTCTCCGAATGTTTTGGGCTCAGTGCTTTGCCCTCATTGGGCATACGCGCTAGTAATCCATTTGTCCGACAAGCGTTTCTCCGCTGATAAGTGCATGTTTCTAGGCCAGCTTGCTAGGTGACGAGGTGACGCAAACAATCAAGCCACATCACTTCCAACTCAAGGCGCAAACAAAAATCGAGCCTCGTCCGACGTGTCATCGTGCGAAAACACGCGTTGCTTCTCGTACAACGCGTGGACAACACACGAACACAGTCCGGCAAAAAATCACGCTATTTCACGCTAGTTCACGCTATTTCACGGTTTTCCGTTAATGTAAGCAAAAATAAGAAGACAATCCGACAACTTTTCACGCCAAATCACGCCAAATCACGGTTTTCCGTTTGCACAAGGAAAGGACAGGAACACAATCCGAGAAGAAGTCACGGAGAAGCAAACGAAACTTGTTGGGTCATTTACTCCAAATCGCTTGATTTGTTTGGGCAGGTGTGAAGAACATGGTAGGGACATACTTTGGTCAGCCAGGGGGAATAAACGGACCTTTGCTGAACTGCTTTTGGGGAGCCACATTTAGCAAAAATAGGTACTTGTTGGGCCTTTAGTAGACGTTCGAACTTGATTGGAGAGTCCTCTGCTGACAAGAAGTTCATTTTTGCGTGGCAAGCTTTGAATAGGCAAGACTGAGCTTGTTGCATGGTTGATGCGAGCCCAGAGCTGATGCGAGTAGACAATCCGCATGCTGAGTCTCCAGCATGCCAATCAAAACTCAAGAGCGCTGAAGACATGCATGCTGAGCTTGGTGGCTCCTTATCCGAGTGTACATAGCAATTAGTATTGGCAACCTAATAATTGACATACAGGTCGCACGTGCAGCATCATGTATCCCATGCTCAATCGCTCAATCGGCAAAACGCCAGGTCTGCTCAATCGCAATGCAGTCATTGACCTAGACCTACAAATAAGAACACTGCTTTGTGTGTATACACAACAAATATGCACATACATGACATACGTATGTCTATGTTTTGCTTAGCGGAATTAAAAACAACGCCTTTTGGTAAGAAAAAAATTGGAGTTTCTTTTTGGTATGCTTGGACATCTTGCTGCGTAGATTGAGCACACTTGAATGGCCAACAGTTGCTGGGAGGCAGTTGGGAGTCGACTCGGTAGGCCAACTTGGTTTGGCGCTCCTCATCTCAATCGTTCGGCACAGCCAGAAAAATGTCCATACTTGCAAAAGCGTGTAGGCTGTAGTGTTTGTTGTAACATAAATCCCTGGCAGTTGATAGATGGCTGTGCTTTCCAGTGCGGCTCAAGGTTGGCAAGTACGTTCCGTTGGCTCAGAGCATGTTGAATTTGTAAGGTTATCATTTCAAATACGTTTATTTCGAGATCAAAGCACGTTTACATGGGCAATAGAGCTCGAGGGGCTTTGCGTCGCACGTCCGCCCCCATGTTGGTTGGCAGCGATAGTGCCAGTGGTTGAACAATTTGCGTACTCAATGCTTACAGCGGCTTTCTCATAAGAGTGCACCAACGCTGCCCACACACACACAGTCCCATAAGAACTGCCCATGCACGAACAGAATCATTCACGCAACTGTTGATGTGTTTGTTTGGCGTAGCCTGCTCATCCGGAAAAAACACTTGCAAGAGTCTGATGGCAAGCTCTTAACCATCGCTAGCTACAAACATCATCAAATGTCCGCGTCAATAACGTGGTGCTTACAATTGCTGAAGCAAGTGCAAATTAATGAAAGCAAAGTTGCTACACAACAGTGCTTTGGCAAATAGAGCAAGTTAGCAAGCAGTGTCATTGGGCACCTGAAAAACAAATATGCTCAATAAACTCCGCCACACTCGGGTTGAAATTCGACTATCGGATACGAGCTGCGTCAAATCTCCTCCATTTTCAGCCAATATTTCGACATTCGACGGGGATTCGGCGAATGTATCATTTTTTGGCTATATGTCGACAATCCGACAGGGATCCGACGAATGTTGTTGTTTTTTTGCTACATGGCCAATGTATCCCAAAAATGGCTACATTGCAATGTATGCTATATTTGCCTACATGGATTCTCAGGGCAAGATATGGGTGTTTCTTTTTGTACAGGCAAAGATGTGTCCCAGCACAAACGCAGAAATGGAAGAACCTTGAAATACAATCACCGGCTGTGCAAACAGACCGCTGGTACGTCAGGTCGGAGGGTTTTGGTCTTCGACCTCAGTTTTTGCAAACACAAATCCTAGGCCCTCCAGTAGAGAGGTTAGCATAAGGGTACCTTTTTTTATGTGGTCTATTTTAGTAGGGGAACTCTCCTCCAAAAAAGGGTAAAAGCGCACTACTGGCGGACCTAGTATCTGCACCTAGCCTCCTGTCCACTAGCATGGAAAACACAAATGTTCCTTTTAATGGTAAATTGTCTAGGACCCCTTAGTCAGGTTCCATGCAAGCGCACAGGCTACCTCACATCCCAGTGAGTTTCGTTTTGGGGTTGCCTGGGGACCCCTGGTAGAAGGGAACCACTTCTTTGGGTTGATTTTGAGTGGGGAAGAAAGCAAACAACCAAGAGTTCCACAAGAGGATCCGGCAAAGCTTAGGAAGCCCGTCGGGGGCCTTAGGTGAGCTTGAGATCGTAGTGCAAAGTCATGATCACTCACAGAATCTTAAATGCCATTTAAGGTCCCAGTTGTCTTCCCAATCTCTTCGAAAGCGATTTTGCATGTGGCAGTTCTTTAGAAACGGGCGGCAGAAGCAAAAATAAGGCGAGTATTTGTCCAGGTCCGTTTAGAACACAAACAACATGATACGTACAACGAATCAACCGGGTGTCACTCGGGGGATCTACACCAAACAGGAGTCAGCTTCCCACAAATGGGTGGTTTTGGTGGTTTCGTGGTGAATTCAGGGCCGGTTTCCCATTTTTACAAGAACCAGCGCTCCGAATCCAACTCCAAACCACCAATGCAGTTGCCTGAACGAGTGACGGCTTGAAGAGGAGAACAAAAAAAACGCGCCTTACTTCAGTGCCATCTGGCAGGCGCGATTCTTACTTCAATCTCCCGACAACATGGAAGCTGTTGAAGGGACCCCGTAAGAAGTGGTGACCCATTTACGTTGAATCGGCCTTTTGGGAGAGCTTCCATATGCACCTGGAAATTGCCGTGCAAGCTAATTTGTACCCTGGGACTCTCTAATTGTCACGGATTCATTGTCAGCCCTGCGGGCACTTGGGTCATTCTGAGGCTTCTTGGCCCATCTCTTTTGTCCGAACCCAAAGCGGCTCCGGGAAAGGCAGCGTAGGAGCTCCACTAAGTGACGTCCTTCAGAACCCAAAGCGGAAATCACCAGGACACTTTTCAGCTGACGTGCCCAACTCATACTGATCGCTGCAAAATCCTCGTTGCATCCCATTTATCAGAACGATTAAATACCAAGACACAAATGGATGGTCCACCGAGGTCTCTTTCCTGCGCGGTTCCATCCTCACTGCAAAATGGTTTTCATGGGGTACCGGTTACAAGGCGCCTGATCCTCATCGAAGATCGTGTGCCCTGTCAACACGCGCCAGCGCACCATCTCTTGCACCTAGATCGCTGGATCAAGGACCCAAGCACCCAGGGCCGAGGGCAGTTCTGTTGCCTGGAACATGAACCCCCCCCAAAAAAGACGGTGTAGGAATGCTTTCAGATACCCGAAGCAGAAGATCGGCCCTGCAACCGCCCAAGGCCTTTGGCCCACGCCGTTGGGGCGTTGCTACTGTTTCTTCTTGTGGACGCCAAACAAAATATAGAAAGCAGGTATCCACGTTTTGGGAAGTCATGACCATGGGCATCCCGCAACTAAAGACATGCGTTTTTCAAACTACGGTCTTTCTTGTGGAAAACTCCATCTACCGGCCACTGGGCAGTAGTCAGAGAGTGCTGGTGAGGCAAAACGAACACATAGTCTAAAGTGCAAGGATTTGGTCAAAAAAAGGTCGATCCCCCATTTAAACAAAACCAGTGGACAATAAAAGCGCATATTCTTATGCGAATAGATTTAAGTACTCACCCCACCCTACTCCAAAGCAGGCTTGGATTTCTGTAGCCACCTGAAAAACGGTCCAAAGGAAACAAACAAAGACAAGGAACAGTTCCCTCTCCGAGCAGTGTGAAAACTACAGGGATCCTTACATTATACACCTGAGCATTGCCTTGTCAATGGTGGTTTCCCTATATTTTGGTGGAAAAAGCCATGTTTCAATGTATCTTTTAAGGAGCCCTGAACTACGTAAGACGAAACCTGACACGCTAAGAAAAAATGGGGATGGAGCTCAACGACTTAAGAGCTCGAAGCCGGATGACTAGAACCAAGCAGTCGACATACCAAGCGAACCAATCCGAGTTGGACTTTGAGGAGCGCGGAGCGACCGACATTGACAACTTCAACAGGGGCGGGGGGATCCGCGCCTCCTGAGACTGTTCCTGAGATTTTCAGTGAGGTGAAACGAATGCCGCTACAATGGCTATGTAACATTATATAACTGTGAGCCGGAGTGTTGCCTAGGTCCTCCAGAGTAGAATGCGGGTACCAACTTTGTTCTGCAGTCGATTTTGGTAGAAGCCTCCCCACAAAAAGTTGGCAAAAGGGCAAACACGGGGGGACCTAGTTACATAAGCGCCCACCCGATGCCGTTTTTTGGACCAGTCGATGCCATTCGCGGAGAGTGGGCGCCCTGTACGAGGCTAGAGCCCAAGGTGTGAACCAAACTGCGCCCGGTTGATTCGACCAAACGGGAAAACAAGACCAAGCTTCCAAAACCATCAACTACAAATAAACAACACAGACACAACACGGGGCCAAGGAATGCTCCCTGGGACACCCAGCTTTTCCGGGAGAAGAACAAAGCAGCGAGCGACTGGCGGTTGAACCGCCTTGCTGTCGGGGTAGGGGTTTTCAAGCATGTTCTGTGAGATCACCAGGAGCAAGGACATCTGCAGAATCAAGTTCGAGGACACTCCAATGAAGAGCCTCAGCGGACGGACGGACCTTCGGGTTTGGCTGGCTTTGCGGCGGGCTTTAGAAGGAAATGGGGAAAAGCCCACAAGTGTTAAACGAACCGGCTTTTGGTTTCCCTAAAAAACATGGATTCTGTGGACTGACGTCCAAGGTGTCATCTTTTTGCTTGCGCACATTTTCCCAACCCAAGTTAAAGGAAGCCAGGAAGTAGAAGCTCGGTCTGGTTGTTGCAACTAATGGAGGGAGCCTAGGACCCGGGTGAAGCGCTCAAAAAGACCCTGGAAGCGCAAGAAGGATACGAAAGCAAGGCAAAGCGTTTTGGAGTTGCGAAAGGAAGCGCGCGGAAACCAACGTAATGAGCCAAAGGAGAAAACCAAAGAAACCAAAGGAATATCAAAACCAAATGGGGAACTACAGGAAACCATGTTGTTTTCGCTCACGGCGCGATTAGCGACCGTGGGCTCGTACGCTGATTGTCTTCTGTCCGACCACGTGTGGGGGGGGGGGGGGGGGGGGGGGATTAGCGACCGTGGGCTCGTACGCTGATTGTCTTCTGTCCGACCACGACGTACGCGACTGTCCGACCACGTGGGGGGGGGGGGGGGGGTGGGGGGGGCGGTGGGGGGGCATGTCAACGTCCAAAGTAAGTGTACCACTTTGTGTTCTGGAGCAAGCATTGGGTTGTCCATGCCCATCTTTTGCATCTGCTTTTGGGCTACTAGCACCATGACATGTGAAACGCAGTTGTCTTTGTGTTTGGCCCACGTCTTGCTGCTGCAAAGTTGTGCCGTGCCCAAAACAAGCGGTTGCGCGCATGAAAAAAAACCCACCGCATCCGCAGGAACTGCAAAGCACATGTTTGTTCGGCAGTGGCAAAGTTGTGCCGTGCCCAGAACAAGCGGTTGCAGGAACTGCAAAGCACATGTTTTTTCGGCAGTGGCAAAGTTGTGCCGTGCCCAGAACAAGCGGTTGCGCGCAGGAAAAAAAAGGACCACCGCATCCGCCGCCAGCTGCGCGTCACCGTGCCAGTGCGGAACGTGCAAAAGTATACAAAACCTTATTTGTTTTTCCATACGAAACAGCGGTGCCTTCTGTTCGGTTTTAAACCAAAACCCACCAAAACGCAGGGTTTTGAGCCAGGCGTGTTGGCGCAGGGGGGGTCCAATCCACCACGGTCACTAGCAGCGCCGCAACCTTGTTTTCCGTGGGGGATTTAAAACCATCAGCTCGAAGCGGATGTTGTCGTCAAAGGCTCCGCCTTTGGATACCCGAAAGGACACAAAAGAACATGTACCGGAGGTTTCTTTAAAGGCTGATTGGATCTCGGTCCATGTATGAACCCATTGCCATTTTGGATTTGTTTAAGTTGACTTTAAAGAATCAAGCCAAGGAGGGGTTCATTCCAGGGGTTCATGGGTGCAATCAGCAACCGAATTTTCACAGGACACCCCTCTTTGTTTAGTCTAAGGCGCACGAAAAAGAAAAGGCTTCGGTCCGCCAATGACCTCCATTTGCTTGAGTCCCCTGGAAAACATAAACAATATGTCCTAGATTCCCTTTAAAACCAACAGGGCAAACAAAAAAACACATATTCATTTGGGCGCGGCTCAAGCTAGGGTTACGCAGGTTTCAGTCCTTGTCCATTTTGGATACCATTGTTTTTTGACCCACGGCCATGTCAGCCAACGGAAGCTGCCACAAATCTCTCGCTCCCGCCCTGGAAACCCATGAAAAAGCGGCGAGACCGAGCCGAGGCGCAGGATCTTGTCGATGACGCTGGTGTGGTGAAAGCCTCAGCCGGCCCGTGGGATTCAAAGCACCTAAATCTCGCTGGCGAGGATAGGAGCTGGGCATAGGCCCAGTTGACCTTTTCGGGCCATGGAAAGTGGGTACCGAAATGGGAAGACCAAAAAGTCAACAGGTGTGGCAAGTGAGAAATGGGTGGTTCTCAACAAACGAACGTTGGGGGTGGATTCCCTTAAGAACCAAGACCAGCTTTCCTAAACCAGGCCACCAAAAGGGGACGGTGCCGACCAAGACGGTTGCAGTAGGAAACCAGTGAAGCGACCGAAAGGACCCAAGGAAGGGAGTTTCAAGACGGATATCTGTTTCGCCAATCCTTTCCTATCAGAATTGAAGGCCTTCGAAGAGCTTGACGTGTGGGCTTCCTTGGGATCCACAGACCTGGAAGTCAAACGAGGGTCTATTGGGCGACGCAAACAAAAGGCGTGGCCAGCGACACGTGAAAGATTCACTAAGGATTTTCGGTGACCCTGAGAACAGGACACTTTTTTGGGTCGACCATTTGAGGTAGGGGGTTCCGGTTTCTCTCACCATATTGGCCCAAAAGGTGCTTGTTTCTTGGTGTCCCTGGCCGAAATGGTACCCTGAAACAAAGATAAGCCCAGGTGTCCAACGCCCCAAGCGGGACGACCAACTGGCCAACTCTTCCCAAGGAGCACAGCAGCAACGCAGCATCCCACATGGACTGCTGGAACTCGTAGAAGGCCACGTGAATCCTTGCGTGGGGTGCCATTCTGGGACCAGAAGGTCAAAAGGTCGACCCCGGATTCATAAACCCCTGTCTATTAATGGGGGGTTGCTAAAGCGAAGAAAAAAAAAAAAAAAAAACAGCAACCCAATACAGAATTGGACACCCCCATTTTTCTAAACCGGTTGATATACCCCCTGTCTATTAATCTGGGGGTGTTCCCCTCCAAAAGTGATATAAACATCCACAAACCCAGAGTTGGACACCCCATTAATAAACCGAGTTGGTTGATTCAGGTGGGGTCAACATTACCCGCAAGGGGGTTGCTCTCCATGAGCAAAAGCTGGTGCTCGGCCCAGGCGGAGACCATGCGCTTCGATTCGGCCGTGTGCCGAATCGGGGGAACCCAACTCAGCGAGACCGGGGCACCCCTTTTCTCGCCTTGGTTTCATGTTAACCCCCGATTAATAAACCCCTGATTCATTGGTTGATTTTGATTGGGGAGGTGTCCCCTTTTAACGGGGATTCATCACTTTTGGAGGGAACACCCCCCGAATAATGGGACGGGTTTATTTATCCTGGGTCAACATTAAAAGGAAACCAAAAGGACAGCAAGATTTTGCGTCCCTATTTTGACTTGAGCCCAACATGTTGACAACTTGGAATTATGTGTTTGTTCAACCGTGGGCATCAGGTAATTACAAGGTTCCAACAAGGATTTATCGGCGAATGTTGCCGGAATTCAACAAGTGGAAATCAGGAATCCACGAGTAAGGCACCTTCTTCAAGGAGGGATGGATCAAAAGAGCTGTGACCTCATTCATCTTGGGCCGGACATTCACGACATCACTCGGGGCAACTCGGGCAACCCGAGTTAAATAAAAGGGGACACAAAAAGGACACAGTACCAATGTTCTACCCCTGGTGTTCTGATTGTAGCAAACCAGTCAAACCGGCTCTGTCCAACCCTTGGGGTTGCTCAAAACGCAGTTTCCGCCGTTGTTTTTCACGTAGTCTGGAGAGGGGTCTCCGCCATGAAATTTGAGCCTCATCTCGGGCCTGTTTCATCGCTTGAGTTTGAGCTTTCGTTGCAAGCTGTTTGAGTGTCCGCGCATCTCGCTTTACTGCCCAACCATTGTTTGCTTCGGATTGAAACCAGGCCTGGGTTGATTTGCCAGCAGTAAACCTGCCAGAGTGAGTGATCATTTGCGTCCCCTGGGAATTAAACGTAACCTTGCGCGCGGGTAAGTAAGTGGTGGGTAGGTAGGGTTTCCGCATGCCTTTGAATCTGCGGACGTTCTCTCACCGGAGAGCCACAGGCCACGAGCCTCGCTCAACGAAAGCTGTGCCGTGAGAACTGCTCCTGGGCTGCCCTTTTCAGAAACACTTTGCAATCCTTTGGGATCCTTCGGATATTTGGGGGCTGTGTGTCCTTGCGAGGTGAAACCAGCTATTGACATTCGTATGGGAATGTGTGGAAACTATCTAGCTTCCCTTAGACTTTCAAGAGGATGTAAGGGACAATTCCTGACTGACTGAAAGCTTCCGGCCACCCACCAAAATAATGATAAGAAGCAAATCTCTGCAGTACTGTCTCAAGCCCCTTCATGCAAGTACTCGATGCTTTTGTGAGAGGCCCATCCGGAGATTCGATCCACAGCTACAAACTGGTCCCAAATTCTATGGACCCAAACTTGTAGCAAGCCTCAGCTGGGGGAAGTCCAATTTTGAAATGGAAGTCTGTAACTTTCAGAAGAGGGCAGTGCTGCTGGGCAGGGGGCTCCCTGGTGGCGATTCGGAGGCTCTGCAACAGGTGAACCCCTTCATGAATGTGGCAAGAAACAAACTCCAGTTGAACATCTCCAGGACAAAACCCACATCCTCCGGCTCTTGGCATGCATCACATTTTTCAGACGAGCCCTGCGCATGTTTTCTTTTTGTCCGGGACACGACGGAGCGAGAGGAGGGCAGGCTTGGGGGGCCGGGCCCCCGCGCAAGGGCTCTTCGGTGGGCCAACCCCAAACGAAAAATAGGCTACCAGGTCAGTTTGGAGCTCGCCACACTTTGGCCGGGTCTTCGGTTCTTCGATTTTGGGGGCCAGTGATGCTTTGACTTCTTAGACCCCAGGGTTCTTGCGCAAGTCAAGTCTCAGTTGTGTCACCTCTTGAGAAATAAAACTCTGGCTTTGAGGGAACTCTCCAAGTAATCTACAAACTCCAGATAAACCCGGACTTGTCACAGATTATGTTTCATATTTACAATACACATGTAGTGATTTTTTTGGAATCCCAAATTTGAGGGACCAACACCCTAGGCCGTGTTAATATGCAGAACAGGGCGAAGCCTCCGCGCGTCGTTTTCCTTTATGATCTGGGTTTCCCTGTCAGCCCATGAACTCAGGGAGTGAGGAACTGAATCTGCAAGTTTTACTATAACTCCAGAAACTGAATTAAGGGATCCCCAAGTAAAGGATCTATGTCATGGTGAGCTCGCTATAAAATCGGCAGATGGAAATGGAAGGAGCTGGTTCTTTCCTCTCGACGAGGCGCTTGTTCTCGTAGATGGTCTGCCTCCTGCGCTGCTTGATGTTCTTCGCGTGCTCCTCCAAGGCCTCCGGATGGTTGTTTTTTCTGCTTGTCTTCTTTCTCTTTGAGTTGGTACCCTCTTCCGGGGGTTTAGAGGTTGCCGTCCAAGGTGCTGCTCTCTGAAGACACAAAAAATACCTCGCTGCTGGAGACGTTGCTTCATAGCCAGGGCGCAGGTGGTATCCCCAACAGCCCCGCTAGCCGCGCCCCACAGCTGCCAGCAAAAGAGCAAAAGAGTGAAGCCCTTTAGGCGGCGGCTTCTTTCCTTCGCAACATCGGTGGTACGCCAACAAACACAAGAGGTTCTGGTCCATATTCAGCCTCCCCTAGAAAATAGATGTATGTTTGGAAGAGACCCCAGTTTCCAACTATCATGGATTTGGACAATCGGAAGGTTCTGGAAGACTTCCATCCTCTTGAAAAGGCCTTTGTTCGGGGAAGGACACATAATTTGGGAGCTCCTCCAAATACAGAACACACCCAAATAGGGGTAATAGTGGGAGCCCAATTAGAATGGGTATGTGCGGTACTCAAAATCAAGCCAAGCGATGAAAATCAACGCAAACATGAGCCACGAAGAGTTTATTCCTATAATCAAATTGGGCTTCAAAGCATCCCTCCAGATCTCTGACTAATTTTGGCCCATCTATGAACTTGGACCCGTTAGTCCACAAAGAACGGAGCATAATAATAAAATCCCGCTAGGTCGGAATCTCCCTTCCGGGATGTGGGTGGCTCGTCTTTGTTTTGGGGAACCTTTGGATGGCGTCAAAGGAACGCCTAAAAGAACCCGCCTTAGGGGCCCCAAGAATTTGAGGCTTGGGACGATCTCAGGGTGAACCACATGACAGATTGATCCGGAGCACTCAAACATAATTTCATTCGGACAGGTTCCAAGGGGGCGGCGTGTCTCAAGGAAACCTAAGGAACCCGAAAGGGGCTCTACCCACCCAACCCCTTGGACGGGATTTCATGGCCGCCTCGAATTTCTTTCCAAAGCTCCGAACATTCCGAAGAACCACCAAAGCCCGTTGGGGGGAAACAGCTGGCTTTGCAAACTAGGAATCGCAACATCTATTTTCTATTCAAAATAACGCAACAGGACACTTGTGGATGGACGCAATCCTGCACCACCTAAGACGCCCTGGAATGATTCGATTCCCCTGTAAATACCACACATATGGCTGGCAGAGAGGAACCCTTGGAAAGAATGCTTGGAATCAGCTCGGATTCGCCAGAATAAAGTCGCCAAACCTTGTATTTACCCTCTCAAACCTTGGCTGCTGTGACGACCTCGGGTAGAAGCTTGGAGGACAAAACGGCAAGGCATTGATTCGACCAGCTTGGTTGCAGTAACGCCCCCTCGGCGAACAGTCTCCAATTCGGAAAGTCTGGACTTCAACCAAAACAACAATACCGTCCACATATATCCGTTACCAAACAGCCACAAAGAACCTGTCCGGACAGTCGAAAGTCCAAAATGGAACTCGGGGAGTGAGTCAAAAAGGCAAAGTTTGGCCTGGAGGACCTCTGTGGCCCAATTTACCCAAAAACATCAAGTAGATCCCGTGGGTGTTTCTCAAAATAGGGTCCCTGGATCTTTGAATGCCGCAAGTTGTTTGTTCTCCTTCTTTTTATGAAACACATTTCGAGAATGCCCCATAATTCCAAATACGCGACACACCCAACAAGCAAAAGTGGAGGAGATCCCCGGAACGTGAGCGAGCCTCAGTGTTATGCCCATCCATGTCGTTGTGCTCCTCCTTTTCCTGCTCGGGGTCCTCGAAACGGGGTTCGGGGCGAGTCAAGAATAACGAGTCGGGAATATTTGCCGGGAGTCGGGAACGCTGAGTCGAGAACACCGCGCGGGACAGTTCCTGGTTCCTGAGAACATGGTTCCTGAAAAGGACAGTCAGCCACCTGATCCCCCGAGCACACGGGAACCTGAAATATTGTTCCTGAAAACGGGAACCCAATCTGGTTCCTGAAACAGGAGTCCGCTGTCCGCTTGGTTGCCGACAACAAGACGGTTCTCCTGAAAAGGACAGTCAGCCACCTGATCCCCCGAGCACACGGGAGAACATGGACCCTGAAATTTCCTGGCTGACTGTCCTTTTCAGGAACCATGTTTTCAGGAACCGGGAAATTTCAGGACCATGTTTTCAGGAACCATATCGCAGGCTCCCGGGTGCTCGGGGGATCAGGTGGCTGACTGTCCTTTTCAGGAACCCCCTTGACCAAGCGGACAGCGGACTCCTGTTTCAGGAACCAGATAGTGGATTCCCGTTTTCAGGAACCATATTGCAGGTTTCCCTGTGCTCAGGAATCAGGTGGCTGACTGTCCTTTTCAGGAACCATGTTTTCAGGAACCAGGAAATTCCAGGAACCATGTTTTCAGGAACGATATCGCAGGCTCCCGTGTGCTCGGGGGATCAGGTGGCAGACTGTCCTTTTTCAGGAACCCCCTTGACCAAGCGGACAGCGGACTCCTTTTTCAGGAACCAGATAGTGGATTCCCGTTTTCAGGAACCATATTCCAGGTTCCCGTGTGCTCGGGAATCAGGTGGCTGACTGTCCTTTTCAGGAACCATGTTTTCGATTCCCGAGTACACCTGATTTCCTTAAAAAGCAATCCTCCACCTGGTTCCTGAAAAGGAATTCCACCGCCAGGTGCGGTACCAAGCAAGGGGTACCAATCAGCTCCCGACAAAGTTTCAAGGTTTTCCTGAAACCACCTAGCCTTTCCTGAAACCACCTAGCCTTTCCTGAAACAACGCAGCCTTTCCTGAAAACCTTTCCTGAAACCATCTAGCCTTTCCTGAAACCAGCTAGCCTTTCCCGAAACCACGCAGCCGTTCCTGAAATCACCCATTCTTTCCTGAAACCACCAAGTTCGCGAAACCAGGCAACCTGAACCCCTAAAACCAACCCTCAACCACACAGCACCTCCTGAAACCACATGGCCTTTCCTGAACCACGCGGTCTTTCCCGAAACCACCACCCAGTCTTTCATGAAACACCCCAACATTTCCTGTGACCACACAGCCTTCCTAAACCACCAAGTCTTTCCTGAAACTACCCGGCACTTCCTGAAACCACCCAGCCTATCCTGAAACAACCACCCAGCCTGAAGCCACACACCTTTGCTGAAACCGCCCAGCCTTTCCTGAAACCGCCCGGCACCTCCTGAAACCACCCAGCCTTTCCTGAAATCACAGCCTTTCCTGAAACCACCCATCCATCCTGCTTTCCTGAAACCCCCACCGGTCTTTCCTGAAACCACGCAGCCTTTCCTGAAACCACGCAGCCTTTCCTCGAGCCACCCTGGACTTGCTCGCTAAAAACAAACCTGAAACCAGGAAACCACCACCCAGCCTTTCCTGAAACGACCCGGCACCTCCTGAAACCACCCGGCCTTTCCTGAAACCAAGCAGCCTTTTCTGACTCCACCAAAGCTTTCCTGAATCCACGCAGCCTTTGATCGAACCTTTCCTGAAACCACGCAGCCTTTCCTCGAACCACCAAACCTTTCCTGAAACCACTACGCAGCCTGAAACCACCCAGCCTTTCCTGAAATCGCCAAACCTCTCCTGAAACCTGCACCCGCCTTCCATAAAACACCCCAGCCTTTCCTGAAACCACACAGCCTTTCCTAAAACCACCTAGCCTTTCATGAAACCAGCACCCAGCCTGAAACCACCCAGCCTTTCCTGAAACCGCCTAGCCTTTCCTGAAACCACCAAACCTTTCCTGAAACCAGCACCCACCAACCCTAAAACCAAACTTAAATCAACCCTAAGGGAGCCCTAAACAAACGCAGCCTGAAGCCACACAGCCTTTGCTGAAACCGCCCAGCCTTTCCGAACCTTTCCCGAAACCAGGCAGCACACAGTCTTTCCTGAAACCGCCCAGCCTTTCCGAACCTTTCCCGAAACCAGGCAGCACACAGTGTTTCCTGAAATCGCACAGCCTTTCCTAAAACCACCTAGCCTTTCATGAAACCAGCACCCAGCCTGAAACCACCCAGCCTTTCCTGAAACCGCCTAGCCTTTCCTGAAACCACCAAACCTTTCCTGAAACCAGCACCCACCAACCCTAAAACCAAACTTAAATCAACCCTAAGGGAGCCCTAAACAAACGCAGCCTGAAGCCACACAGCCTTTGCTGAAACCGCCCAGCCTTTCCGAACCTTTCCCGAAACCAGCCAGCACACAATCTTTCCTGAAATCACACAGCCTTTCCTAAAACCACCCGTCCGTTCATGAAACCAGCACCCAGCCTGAAACCACCACCCGGTCTTTCCTGAAACCACACGGCCTCTCCTGAAACCACGCAGCCTTTCCTCAAACCACCCCGGACTTTCTCCGCAAAAACAAACCTGAAACCAGGAAAGCACCACCCAGTCTTTCATGAAACACCCCAGCCTTTCCTGACACCACACAGCCTTTCCCAGAACCATCCAGTTTTTCCTGAAAAATCTTCACCCCCCAGTCTTCCCTGCAGCCAGCCTTGAAACGGGTATCAACTTGGCACCTGGCCGGGACTTGATTGGTACCCCCCGGGACCTGGTTGGTATAACATTCTTCCACCGCCTGGCTTGCTGCAAAAAAGCAGTTCAGTTCCTGGTTCCGGAAAAGTCTGCAAAAAACCATCCACCACCTGATTCCTGAAAAGGGCGTCCACCACGGAACATTCCCAGCCATATTCTTGACTCACTGTTCCTGACACTCTCGACCCTGTTCCTGACACCAGCCCTGTATTCCCGAAACAGCTACCATTGCCTCGAAACGTGAGCCCAAGAAACAACACGTGAGTCAATCAAAACCCGGTATTGATCAAGTTGTGGTAACTCCTCCATGTTTTCCAATCCTTCTTTCCAGAAACCCACCAAAACCAAGGAATGGCTTACAAAGAAGAATGGTTAAAACAACTGAAGAATCTCTCCTCCTTTCGCGAGCTACTCGTGGACGGTGTATGGGTCTGCTTTTTGTTTTGGGAAGCGGACCCCCAAAAATGGATGGGTATGATGGGTTTTCCGTTTTCCTGTTGGTTTCCCTTTAAAACCATCCAAAACCGGTTCCCTCAAAAGACACACCCAAATTGCAACCCCTGGGAACTCTTTGCCGCGGAATGCGGATGATCCTACCCCGCGGTTTGCTTCCAAGCCTCGGCAAAAGGGGAGTTCCAAGCAAACACATACATGGGTGTGTGTGTGTGTGCCTGTTTCTTTTTGGAAACCCCTCTTTTGCGATTTTAAAAGGACACCAAGAGGAACACCCACCCATTTTGGGGGAGTCCCTTAAAAAAAATATACACACACACACATTCAGTTGGGTGACAATTAGATGGCAGATACTCCGTGGAAGTAAAGAGCATGACTAAACGAATGGGTTGGAATCATGCCGTCTGATCAACTCACCCAAGCCAGAACAAAACACATTTGCCTTTTGACCCACAAGGTGGGGAAAAGCAACCTCACGAGGGTTTGGTCCAGCAGTGATGGGCAACATACACTATGTCCACGTAGTCCAGTAGTGATAGGTTCCCCACAAAACCAGCCGGGGAAACAACAACTACAAAGTTGACGCCAGCTTAACAAACCAGTCACATTTACAGGCGGGTGTCCAACAATTCTGGACTGCAAATGAAGAAAAAACAACTCGCAGTGCTCGCCCTTGTCGTCCTTATCGTTCTCGTTGGCATTGAGTTCGGCGTGGTGCTCCGTGGTTGCCACCATCGATGCGATCTACCCGCCGAGTTTTTTGCGATTCCCAAAGGGGCGTGTTGTTTGAGGACTTTTGTGAGAAAGGAGGCCGAACAGAACGCCAGCATTTTGGGTTCCCCTTTGACACAGCTACGGCCAATATAAATTTATTGTTTCCTCACGAGAGCACAGGAAATATTGGTGACTGCCCCTATGCTGTCCTGGTGTTTTGTGGGAAATCTGGTAAGTTCGCCCATGTCCCTCTCAAACAAACCATCGACAGGGCAGTCTGACCAAACCTCATGTACAGTAACGTCCCAAATCCTGATGCGGGTCCTCCTTGTTTCAAGTGATACGGGCCTACGAAGTGCCGACACCCTCTAAGAAACAACTTTGGCGGAACATGTCCAGGAAATTCACAAAATTCCCGCTGATAATTTGTGGGTAGTTGACATTGTTTGGAAGACCCTGGCAATCGGTAAGCGCGTCCGCTGCGGCTCTCAATTGAGAGACCCTTTCGAAGCCCATTTGGACCCCCTTGGGCTGCAAAGAGAATCCACCAACACGAGCACTCGCAATTGCTTAATCCATGCGGCTACATGGGACCCACGAATTGGTCGTTTTCCTTTTAGGTGTTTGGCTCGGTCCGTCACAGGGCGCGCTCGTCGCTTCTGCGCGAACCGAGCCATGACATGTCCTCAATCATTCGAGTGATTTCAGGAGCTTTTCTCGCTGAAGTCAGAGGCTGCAGATCCGTGCGCTGAAGGTGTGACAGCTTGCGCGCACGCAGACAGGACGCGACATGACATGGAGCACGCTGAACTGTTTTGCGACTGATGTCCTTCGCCAGCAGGGGGTTCGCCTCCCCTTTGTTGCCAGCATGGCTGGTGACTGCGCTTCCTTACCTTGGACGCCAGCATGCATCATTGACCATGTGTCACTGCAACCACCTTCCACGCGCTTGATCCTAACTGGCTGCAGGATGCCACATTTGTGGTAAGGTGGAGATGCCTTGTGGCCACCGTTGCCATCACGTTCACGACACCCCTGTGTGTTCCCAGCAGGTTGAGGAGTTTACACGTCACCCTTATCGCTTGCAGTCGCCGGCTTCATGAGCAAGGCTGGACTGGTGTCCTGACGCAAGCATCCTTGTTGTTTCCTGAAAGTTGGAGCTGTCGGGTAAAAGGATACCTGTGAACCTTCGGCCGCTTTCTCGCTGGCCTCGTACCATGGCAGCAGAGCTGGAGGACCAAATCCCGGACACGCGTATCAGATGCTGGCCAATGCCGGGCCGAGCGCAGCGTACCTATACACAACCTGGAGCCCTGAAACACCACTTGTTTTTCGGTCAAAAGATATATGGCCCGGTTTTACCTGTAAGCTAGCTTTTTTCGGTCATTTGCCTTAGTTGCCCGTATTTGGCTGTTAAAAACTCGTATTTTGTCGATAAAATATTGAAAAAAGCGGAGGAGCACGTATTTGGCCGTATGACCACTTTTTTCAGGCAAAGCATTTTGACAAAAAAAGAGCAGTGTTTTGGGGCCCCAGGAATCTCCTGTCTGAAAGCAGTGTTTGTGACTTGCGGTTTGTGCACCCTGGACAATTAGCTTGTTATCGTCTGTTGGTCACTATGCATGATTAAGGACACAGGCCGACGATGTGGAGTGGCCCAAGCAAGCAACCCTTCAGAAGCAGTCCCGCATGCCCTGCTTTGAACCAGGTTCATGCAAGATCCCTCCTTCAGTTCCTCACTTGCCATGCCTTGAGCTACCAGGAAGCTTCTCCTTCCGGTGCCGCCGGTTGCATTGGAGTTTTGTGCCAGCCTTGCGTGCTGGCTTAACCTTCCGATGCGTACGCAAGGATTCTCGTGGTTTCAGGTTCCTTGTTCTTCGCCCTTGTTTTTACGCATCCCTCGCGGCATGGCGCTGAGATGTACATGCACAGATCAAGGCTTTGTCAGGCTTGAGATGAACTCACATGGACTTGTCGAGCGGGCAACTGACGTAAGCGTGGCCGGTGCCAAAAACGGGGTACCCCCCAAAAAAGACGCAGATTCCGAGAGAGACGTGGCGACTTGGCTTCCATGCCAAGCCTGCGACCAGGTTTGGTGGGCCGCTTAGCCGCTTTGTGACACTGTCCTTTTGGCAGCTCTTGTGTTAGTTTGTCTTGGTCAACAACCCTCGGTTGCTTTCTGCTCCCCTGTTAAAAGTTTAACTTTTCGTGGTTTAATGTAAAACCCATTCGTTGGCAAAAAGTTAAGGTCCTAAAATCCAAGCACCAAAGAATCAATTGGGGCAAGCTCGCAAATATGGCCTAGGGCTAATGCGGTCTACTCTGGCACAGGTCCCGCGACTTGGTGGGTTGGACTGGTAGGATAGGTAGCTGCCATATTCTAGGTTGATTCCCCATTCCTTTCAATCACAGCTTCCAAAAACAACACGTTTGGTGGTTTGCCGGAAAAGGATCCCTAGAAACACTTTGGAAGTGGCCCATAGGACAGCGCTCAAAGAAACCCGCCAAACTTTGCTCTGCTTGCGTAAACCAGTTGTGGGAGGTATGGTTCTCCGCGCATTGCCTAAAAACTTGGTTGACGTTGGAAGGGGGGCAAAATGTTATTTGTTTTGCAGTGCAGTGGTTGGATTTCAACCACTAAACCACAATAAGCAAAAATTGGAAAAATGTCTCCCAACAAAAACTATGAAAACATCAACAACAGGAGCATGCACTCTGTTCAGGAGAAAAAACATCCGGAAATCCTTCAACCCCATGGGTGAGGAAAGCCCACGGCTTGCCACAGCATTTTGTTTTTTCTTGCGAAGCAACCTGACCAGGCACAAGCAAAACTGTTGTGAAAGCTCTTGCTACCTCCATTTGGTGTCTCTTCCGAATTATGTAGCCAATTTTTTGCAACTTCAGATCCTCAATCCTGGAACTGAGGACTTAAATCTTTGCCAAAATCCGTTTAGGGGAAACCATGTCTCAACTTGGTTGCTGTTGACCCCTTCGCCAAAAAAAAGCTTTTGTGGGTCCAAGTCGGAACAAACTGGACTGTTTTAACCGACAAGTCAACGTCCACAGATCCGCTGCCAAATAGCCATAAAGTCAAATGTTTCCAAAGGTTGCAGCTGAACAAAGTCGCCCAAGCAGACTAGTCCCGCTTGAAAACCAAGCGGCAAATAGGAATCCCAGATTAATTCCCCCAGGTTGTTAGAGGGGTGTCCCTAAGATTGGGATGCAGACCACCATCTTCCCAAAAAGTCCTTAAAGTCTCGAAGTTGTTTTCGGGAATCGAGGGTGCCGAGTTTCTCCACCCAAAAGCACACACAAACAATCAACCCAAAAAAACAAGAAACCAGCCACAAGGCACCCACCAACAAACCGCAACAACACGAGGCGACGGTCGACTCGACTCGTCGAGTCGTCGAGCCACCCGTCGCCTGCTCCTTGAGCGCTTGGATTTGCTCCCGCTGCTGCAGCAGCTGCTGCTGCATCTCGAACAGCTTCTCACTTGGCCTCGTGATAGTCACGACCCCGGGGCTTCGAACAACAACTAGGTCCTCCAGTAGAGAGGTTAGAACAAGTTGGTACCCCGTTTCTGTAGTCTCTTTTAGTAGGTCCCGAACCCTCCCAACCAAAAAAGGTGGTAGAGAAGGGCACGATCCTGGGGGACCCAGACAATCCAAGCGGCCTGCGGGAAACGCCTCGTCTCCGCTCTTTCTTTCCTGTTTGCATCGTTGCCCCCCTCCTTTTTGGTAAAGGAAAACCAGCCGGTTTTCCACGAAGCAGGTTCTTTTAAGGAGATCCGAGTTTAAAGAGACCCATAGAGATAGGCTCGACACCTGAAAGGACGACTTTGCTTGGCAGTGCAGTTGGATAGGGTTATCTTTTGGTTGAAAACCGATGGGTTTCCCTCTAATGAAACAAGGTCAGCCACGAAATGCCACGAATCGCATCTATGTTCTACCAAAGCAAAATGACACCAATGGTTAGAAATCTGAGCAGGTTGCATCTCAATCGGCCAAGAGGGCCCTCCTTTGGCGCCTGACTCGGACGGTCCGTGTCTTGTTGTCACCCGAAAAAATGGCAATCAAAACCTGGCAAATTGGGGGCCAAGCTGAGCTTTCAGCCCCTTGCATTGCTTGAGACGGAAAGATGCCAATGAACCCGGTTGAATAGACTTGACCATGTTGTTGATTTTGGGTTGCTTGACCTACAACCATAGGATGGGTGTGTCTCAAACAAACGACACGCAAAACAGGTACATAGTGTCCTTTTGGTTTCCTTGTATACAAACCCCAAAGTGGGTACCCACAAAACAAGCACCAAGCCGGTTCACCGGGCTTTGCTCCGAGCCCTGAGCGAAAGGTCGATCACCCGAATCGATCACACCAATAATAGCCACAGAACCTGACCAACTTTGAGCATCCGAAACAAAGCTTTGAAGATGATTTGACTTTGGCTCAAATAAACGTACCAAAATGGCACCTTGGTAAATGGAACCAAACTAGAACCCGCTGTTTGCCCTAGCTCTTTAATTTTGAGCCACCCCCATGTGGATTGATCAGAGAGAAGAACCGCGCGTATTCCTTCGGACATCCGCGGGCTTTTTGGCAGGGAGAACCGACAAGAGTTCCGGCAGGCTGCGTTCGAGAGGAAAAGGGCGCCGCCTTTTGGAATGCAAATTGGAGTGGTTTGTGACCATGGCTGCACAAAGGTCTCACTTACAAAAAGGGGAAGAAAAAAAAACAAAAGGTCTAAAGGTCGATTCGCTTTGAACAACTGAGATGTAGTGGATTTCTGGCTTAGTCCCCCACAACAAGTTCAACTGCTTAGGGGGGTGTCCCTCATTTTCCGACAAGTTTCAGGTTGAGAGGCCAAATCATAGTGCCCAGTTTGCGAGTGATGTGATTGGGGGGAGGTGTAAACAGAAGCAAGCCAAGCTCTTGATTTCAACATCGTCCTGCAAGATTCCAACTCACCCTCTCCAATCTCCGAGGAGCGCATCGTTTCTGGGGGGCAGCGGCATTGCGGCG